AAGTATTTTCTTGTTTCGTACGAAGTGAAGGTATATCTGTTGGCCTGTCACAAGCTGCGAGCAAGTGAGACACCTTGATCGTTTAACTCTCTAATAGACTGAAGAACAACTAATGAGATGGAACAACCAATCATTCCATTTCATTAATGGTGGCAGACAATAGGAATATATTTCTCACTCCCTACACGCTACTGTGGAAAATATCCTCGTTTTCCAACGTTGCATTTGACAAAACCAACATGTTCGATAATAACATCAATTCTGCTTTTGGAGAAATACACTCAGAAGCCCAAGTCAAAAATGATAGTGTTGAAGCTTCATCACTAAGTTATAACGAAATGTGTGTTGCTATATAGCCACAAAAGAACAATCTTGCGACTTTACAATTAAAGTTCAATAAATTGTTTTTCTATGTTATAAATCTGAATATCTTTAAGGAAATCAATGATTTAATCAAAGGACTAATTTTTTTCTTGTTTCTTAGCACGACAATTCTAAATATAAATATAAAAAACTTTCATAACCAATGCCCTCCATAATTTATCATTCAAATTGGCAGCTATTAAATCACGTACACATATTTTGTCGAAATCACCTACTACCGCATCAGCCAAATATGTTTCTTTAATTGCCTTTATTACGGCTACCACTCGTCTTGAAAATGTTTATTTTGCCACTTGTTTAAAGTGAATTTTTTGTACGTATTTTAGTCTTCTCAAACATTAAATATCGTATTCGGAAAATGACAACGTTCAGTAGCTCTGGACCATATTTTTTCTGAACTACTCCTTTTGGTATATTAAATTTTTTTACTTAGTTGGCCATTACACACGTTGGAGAGTACAATCGTCCTTGGCTGCATGGAGTAATCACCGCCAGCCAGCCCGATCAGTGGGTTGCTGTTGTCAGTTGGTAATATCGAGCGCCCTCAACTCGTTGGTCACCTGGTCTTTCCCCTGAAGATGTGGACCTTTCTAGCCGGAGCACTTTCTTGCGTTTGCACGACATAATCATATGTATAGTTTATACAGCTCATCGTTAATTTGATACTCGTTGTCAACGTATAAGGGACCTTAGATTCTCCGAAAAATTTTTCTCTCGAATGGTCTTAATGCCTTCTTATCACTGTTAAACATATATAAGATTATACACATATGAATACGTATTCATATATCAACCGATATTAATTTATATATTATGAGATAGGCTACATTAGGCATTAACTATTTACCTATCTAATGTGATATAAATTTCATAGAGTGAATTTTGATATTCTATACTATTCTATCATATGGCTTTCAAAGTAATCAAACTTTATATTATATAAAAATAAATATTTTAATTTAAAGTATTTTCAACAATCTACATATTTTTAAAAAAATAATAGATAGATAGATAGATAGATAACTACATATTACATTATTAATCAACAAATATTTTCGAAGTCACTGATGATGGATATTTGGCAATATCTGAAGCAGCTGTATGTGGAACTACAAAATTTAATTTTCTTATGTAAAAATACATTCATGTTGTTGTGTGATTTTTTTCATATATATGTTCATATATATATATATATATATATATATATATATATATATGCATACAAATATATTATGTATAAATAAATATACAAACTTAAATTTTGAACATTTTTTATAAGAACTGGTTTCGTTTAATATTTCTATAGTTATTCTTATCATTACTATATTATTGTTATAGTTTTATCATAATATCAATATTTTGACTGATTTTGATAGCTCTATAATCTATAATTTACAATATACATAATAAATGTACTCTGTCGTACATAGATACTAGTATTCATGCAGTAAATTTGATTTGTTTTTATTTTGCATATAATAATAATGACGATTCACTTTAACCTGATAAGATATTTTGCGTTTGGGAAGTGTAAAATAATATTAAATATAATTTTTAAATAAATTTTGTAGCTGAAGTTAGTAAATATTTTATTAAGAGGCTGGAAGAAATGCGAGAGTGTTAAATGTTAACACGATTTTGTTTGACAAAAAATATGAAATAAAAATTTTAATTGACGAGTTTATGTATAAAATTTTAAAAATAAACTTTAATGTTAATTAAACAAATGAAGGAGAAAGAGAAAAAAGGGAGAGAGAAAATCTCTTGTCAATAAATTATTCCAAAATAATTTATAAATTCCTATGTATGTGTATTTTATATAAAACAATTATACTAGAACGTAGAACTTAAAACATCAATTCAGTTGGTCATTCAAACAATTTTTTACTCTATTTAATTAAAATATAAATAATCTAATATAAAAATCTATTATTATTTAAAATCTCTATATTACACAATCAAATTTACATAAAAATATTTTTAATTACCAATCATAATATAAATCAATATACAATATATTATCCTTGATTAATAGATTGAATCATAGATTTCATTAAGACTGGGAGTTTTGCTGAACCATATTTGGAAAATATTGCATAATAATTAAGGCGTGAAAAAGTTCTCTCCATGCTCCTGGACAAAAAACATTTTTAAGGTTCTCTGAAAACGGTTTTAGTCAAACAATATGAATTTTTATTCGCGGATTCATAACTGTTTAAAAAATATAGATCCAAATTTATATGACGGTAACGAAAGGACAATCTTAACATCGAATTAAAAAATGTTAAAAAATAGTGAAAAAAGACGAAGACTATGTTGGCCGTGATAAGTATTACTTAGCATGACAAAGGCATTTTAGTTATTAACTACCCCGAAGAGGATCACATAAAAACTGAAGTATACAAATTATATATAATATACTATGATATATGTATATGTGTAATATACTATAAAATTTTAATGGATAAATCAAACGTTGCATACGTAATTAATGAATTCCTAACCAGGGCACTCTAACAGAACATATGTGACCGATTCCTCATTCTGTTCACAGAATCTACAGTTTGCATCCGTATATACATCCCAGTCTCGTAAGGTGGTATTTTAGTTCACATCGCTCTGTAAGGATTCCTGTGTTGATTCTAAGTTTTTCTTTTGATAGCTTTCATTAAACTTATTTAAGTAAAGAGCGAAAAAGATAAGTAGTATCATATTGATACACATCAATATGTTACATGTTCAAATTATTAGAAATATAATTCAAAATTTAAAAGATTTGTTCTGATTTAAAAGAATAAAAAGACATATGTCATGAAAAGTTTTTGGTTTATAGAAAATACGGGTAAGTAATTCATATTAATCAAAATGAACACAGAAACTAATCAAACTTTAAAAGAAATAATAATCAAGTAACTGATATATACCTATAATTATCGAAACATTCGACATAGGCGCAGTATATGGTGATGAACCTTTTCTAACAGTGGCTGAAGTAATATTTCAAAACGAAATGAGGGTTCTTCGTATTAATCGATAACAAAGGTATGAGCATGCGTTAATGAAAGCAAAATAGTGTTTAGTGCTTAAAACCATATTCCCGATATAAAAACCTTTTTATGTAGTAAATGATTTAAGAATATATATATAGAGCAGAACCTTCATTATCTGATATACCACTATCTAAGATAACTTAAAAAAAAATATAAGATATAAACCAAGAAATTAAATAAAAATAAAACATCTGTAAATACAGTCAAACCACTCTATAACGAAGTCGTTGGTACCTACAAAAAACTTCGTTATAGCGAGGTCTTCGTTAAAGAGAGGTTGAACAAAATTTTTTTTGTTTGAATTTTTTTTTTTGCATTTGATTGAGGAATATGTACGTATTTATTTTAGAAATATATTTAATTCATGTTTATTGTTTTAAAACATTAATTGTATATTGGTAAGTCTGTAATTTTAGTTTGTCCAGACATTTTTACTTTTTCCTTATTAAGGAACTCTTCCAAATCCAAATCTTCTAACAAGTTAATAGTTTTAATACAAAGAAGTTTCTCATACCTAAGTGACAAGTTGAGTGTTTACCTAGTATTTGAATAAATTCGTTATAGAGAGGTTTTTTTGTATGCTAAAATTAGTTTGCATACCTTAAAAAACTTCGTTATAGAGAAGAATTCGCTATAGAGAGTTTTGTTATAGAGAGGTTCAAAAATATGAAAATCGCTGTGTCTTCAACAAAACTTCGTTATAGAGAGAAATTCGTTATAGGGAGGTTCGCTATAGAGTGGTTGGACTGTACGTATTTTTATTACGTATGTCTTCAAAGAAAATTTATTTGTGTTAGTGTAAATATTAAGTGTAGCCAAAAATCTTTTGAAAATCAAGTCAGCGTAGATATAAGGTAAGAAACAATTGGTATATGGAAGGTACTAATATTAAAGGATTAAAAGAAAATATTATAACTCTTGAGAGTTCGATATTTATTAAGTGTTTTAGTACACATTGAATCACTGTTTCGTAATATTTATTTTAAAATTGATATAGGTTTTGCATTTGTATGGTTGATTCCTGTTCTGTTGCAGTTCTCAATTTAATTCAATGTATATATCTGCAGTGAAAAAAGTATAATTATAAGAACGAATAATTATAGTTGCAATAAATAAAGGTACCTTTAGTATATTATATAAAAGTACCTCACATTTCTGTTATTTTATTTTAAAATTGATATAGGTTTTGCATTTGTATAGTTGCTTCGTGTTCTCTTGCGCTTCTCAATTTAATTCAATGTATTATATCCGCAGTGAAAAGAGTATAATTATAAGAACGATTAATAAAAGTTACCTTTAGGTTGGAAATCAATATATAAACATATCGATTCTTATAATCTTAAATTAACTAATTAATTATTCTTTATAATAGAATGACGGGTAATGTAATCACAATAAAATGAAAGAAATTGAAGCGCTATACTCAATTCGTTACTGCCAAAAGTTTACAGAAATTAATATAAACTGTGAAGTTTTCCAAAGCTTTAGAGAACAATACGACAGCGGCAATGGAACATCTGCAAATAAACACAAATTCTACGTGCTTACACGGCTATTGAAGAGAGCTCGCCAACAGTTCCACGTTTGGACTCATCGCGTTAAGTTTTGTACGTACAAGCGTTGTACGGTCGGTTAAAAAGCGAAAGTGGCGACCCATTTAACGGAAACAATATTTTTATTTAATGTTTTTTAATAAATAAATACATATGTAAATACATATATGCATATGAGAACGTAAATGTGCAATAGTTTGTTTTACAAATTTATGTTTACTTATTAGTTAAGTCGCTAATTTAGTTAAATTGCTAATTTAGTTAAATTGCTAATTTAGTTAAAAATATCATTTTAATAATTATTTAATAAAAGTTTTTAAATAACTGATATGGCCACGCAAAATGAAATACCTCCACTTAAGCGTGCTGCTTTACAAGTGGTCGCTGGCGGGTCTGCCGGATTTGTGGAAGTCTGTATAATGCAACCACTTGACGTGGTAAAAACACGGATGCAATTACAAAACACAACAAAAGCCATCGGTGAGGTATGATGGATTTCTGTTATAATTTAAGCTTATTTAAAATATATTTTTTTGATTGGACACGCCCACTTATTTGCCTATTAATTAGTTCGTACAACATATAACTATAGGCTAAAGAGCACATGCATAATTGCATTGTGTTTATTTGGGGCGACTAAATACTCCATAAAAAGTAATTTTACCGGTTAGGTTAATAGGTGCTATTCACACATGTTGATGCGAATAGAGAAGCATAAAATATTGTTTAAATAAACTCTGCAATGATTTTGTTGTTAATAAATATGAAAATACAATAATTATCTTTAACTATGGCCAGTTAAAGCTAATACTCATTACAACAATTTTAAACCAATTATGATTTCAATTTTCTAATCGACGATTCATAAAATTAGTAACTGCTAGTCTGCAAGTTAAAGACAGATATTTGTTAATGTGTAAATATTTTGATTGTTACATACAGATGAGTGTATGTGAGAAAACATATGTATTTTTGTTAACTTATCAGCTTGAGAATTAAGTAATTTTCTTATCATTAAAGTAACTTAATAATAAAAGCAAAAACCACATTATCTTAACTGGCACCACAGATTATAATTGAGTAAATGCTATAAAAATATAAAAAAGTCATAATATTTTGGCAATTCATTTATGGAGCTTGATTTCGTTTTATATAAACTTAATAAAATATAGCATATACGTTTAATTACTTTCTAGAATTTCGCTGAAATCTTTTCAAATCAATCTTTGTACTGCAATAATTCAGTAATCGCATGCGTTCCAGAATAGTGTTGAGCTAACAAACTTGTCTTTTTGACCCACAAACAAATTCATACTTCCATACATAAATCGAAGAGGGCATTTCTGAAGGTTATTCTTGTTGTTTATTTTCTAATGTTGAAATGTAGAAGCAAAGAAATACTCACACAAACTTATGCGATTTCTATTAGATTATCTGATTTATAAAGATTTTAACATAAAAGTGTTAATTTAATTCCAGTTTTTTTTTTTTGGAATAGAATTTTGTAGAATATGAGTAAATTGAAAAGAATATTAATTTTTTAATAATTAAGAAAAAAATATATAAATTTAAAAATACAAATATAATGGACTTATTAAGAGTTTCAAAAAGTATTCATTTCATATGTCAAAGAAGTACTTGAAATATTGGGTTAATATCAAACTTTTATGAAAAATTCCTCAACTAATCAAAAGCAGTATTTTTTAATTTCATATTTTTTAAAATTTAATTTTAAAAAAATTATCAACCCATTGTAGTCTTGTGCTTTAGATTTGTGCTTTGTGATTTAGATGTACTTTAATTATCAATATTATTAACATCATTTACTAACGAGATTAGAAATCATTCTAAATTATTAAATTATACATAATTTAAATTGAATAAATTTAAATTGAATCACTTTGCTTCGGTATGAAGTCAATCAAAATATATGTTACAGGATGGCCCAATTGAACTGCAACTTTTCATGATACTGTATAATATACATTGTATAATATACAGTGTATATTAAAATTTTTTTGATTATTACCGGGCTTAGATCATTTATTAAAAAATAGAACTATAAAAAAAATTTATATTTTTTTATATTAATTTGAATTTTATTGAACCAACAAAAAAAGTTGTACATTGAAAATAACATACCGCATACCGAATATTATAACACTTGTGAAGTAAACGCCTTCACTGCTTTTACGCAAGCAGATTTAGAAAAAAGTATAAGAAACAAATAAATTTTTATATAATAGTCCTAAAAATTTGAAAACTAAAACAATTTCATAAAAAATTTGATGTGCAATTTTATAAACATTTTTAATAATAACAGAAAAGTAAATGTGCCAGCTAACAGCATCAAAATCGAAAAAAACATGATATCTTAAAGTTTTTTAAATACATTAGGTAAATGTTCACACCTATACACGGTAATAATGATTATGATTGGAAAAGTTCAATTAAACAATTCAGCTAATTTAACGTAGAGTATAACATAGTATAGCTCAATAGTTTCTAAAGAAAAGTTATTTATTTTTAAGGTTATATCGCTAATTTTAGTTGATTTACTTCTTAACATACTAACACTACACTTGCACTCTTTATATACAATATATAAATAAAATTAGTATTAGTACTACGTTATTAGTACTACCTATTTATTATCAAGTATTACCAAGATATGTACGGATTTTGTTTTTTTTCATAACTTGTTCTCATTTTGAAATTAATTTCATTATGCCTATTTCATAAAAGGCCTCGTCCTTATTAGCAAAACCAAAATTACGCATGATTGGCTGTTACAGTTGATACTGTCAGGACCATAAAACTTTTCACATTTTCAGCTGTCTGGCTTGTTTTTCGTCTTTATCAAAGAAATTATGCTAACTGTGAAATATGATTTTTAAGGATATATGGTATATTAAAAATATATATGATATGTATTTACTCTTTATTAGTGTCCATCTTTGACGCGCATTCAAACAAAACTAAGTGAATCAATTACCAAACTATCAAAAGTTTTTTAGTACGAAATCTCATCTTTCTAACACCATCTAGCGTAACCCGAGCGGACTTATACAACGCGGAATAACTACCGCACTTGTACAGATAACTAAAGCCAACTATTGGGAATATAATGAATTTCTTTTACTATACCTAATAATAACCCAGCCATATAATAATTGAATTAATTAATTAAAGTTTAGTTTAGTACTATTCTGTTTGTAGAGACATTATTTTTATATAGGTATATAATATATAGATTTGCTGTCCTTGCGTATTGCTCGTTGTTTGGAAGCTTATTTTTACAAATAAGTTTATGATAGAGATATTTTATGTTTTCGTTAAATATAGTTGAAAAACCGAATTGAACGAATATTATGTGGATATATACACACATAAATATAATAAAATATTCAATACAATTAATTGAAGATTCAATAGAGAGTCCGGTACATCTAATATTATTCTCTACTTACTTTTTATTCACTTTTTTATTAAATACTTCACGTAAGAACATTCTGCTTTTAGTATTTTAAAGGTCTATTATTATTTTTCAACAAACCTGAACACTTTTTATCAATATCATATGAACAGAAAAACGAGTGATTCAATGAATATAGGTATTTAATTTGTAAAAATAAAATTTCAGGGGAAATAAAAAAAACTGAAATTGAAATCTTTAAAATGAGAACACAAACCACATAATTAAGATATTTGTACATTGCAAATTTTTTAATTAATAATTGAAAGTTAAATTAAAAAAACTGGTTATAATTTAATTAAATTTTAACATTTGTAATTAACTGGACATGAAACCAAAAATAAATATCTATTGAATGTTATCCAAATTCAGTTCACAATTTTTCGTAATTTATTCAAGATTATTTAAAACATTTATTATAATATTTATGCAAAATATTTACATTATAAGTAATTACTAGAAGTTATAATAAAGCGAATTGGTATTAATGATGTATTCAAATCGAGTACTATAATTATTAAGATGTGACAGATACTTGAATAAATTGATTAAAATATGTAAATATTTCAATTCATCTAAAAAACGCTAATAAGATTTTGCTAAAAATAGTGTAATCATATTTTTGTAGTGGTAGTATAAAAATAAATGGATCTCGGATTTAACGTATCTTAACTGAATATAAATTGAATTTTTTACGATTCATATTTATAAGACAATTTATTAATTAAAATGAATTAATCAGTTTTTAGTAGTTATGTTATAACACCGAGCGCCCCCAAATTATTGGTCACCTGGTCTTTCCACCGGAGATGCGGACGTTCTCTACCGCATTTTTCACCTACTTGTACAGAATGAAACACCTTTTTAGGCGGAGTACGTTCTTCCACTCGCACGACATGACCAAGCCAGCAAAGTCGGAGTAGCTCATACAGCTCTATTCGATACTCGTTGCCAACGCGTAAAGGACCATAGAACTTTCGAAATATTCTTCTCTCGAATGCTCCTAAAGCATTCTCATCACTGTTGGTAATTGTTCAAGCTTTTGTACTATGCAGCAGAATAGGTATGATTAGAAACTTGTAGAGTGTGATTTTTGTTTACTAGATTACTACTACAAGGCTGAAAAGATGTCAAAATCAGTAGTAGCAATTGAATTGTCAGTTTCTGTTTTTCTTACTGAAGCATGTGGACATAGTAAAAAGTGTTCATTTTATTCGGGTTATCGTAACTAACTTAAGTTCTTGCCATGATTTTGCAAACTTCTTTTATATTGTTAAATGGTTTCATATTATTCCCATAATAATAATTATGACATAGCTGTATGATATACAAAATTTCATACTGAAAACATTAAAAGAAGACAGGCTGATTTTATTTTATGATTAGTGGCACTATGAACAGACTCCCTCACTAATTAGTTAAGCCCATTTCATTACTGGCACTGTTTGAGTACATACAGTTTAATTCTTAATATGTTAATTGAATTTCCGAGAACATTCACAACAATGTGGTTTCCTTAGATTTTGACTAGAAATTTGTTCTTGTTGACAGACTACTAGCCAATCCAACCTAAATGGGAAGATCTAAACAGTATCTGTACAAATGATCAGTTTAGGCTAAATTAAGGCATTCGACTATGAAATTCTATAAAGTAACAACGAACTATAGAATAATCTAAATGTAGACCTAAAGAATAATTTAGTTTAAAGGCTTTCAAAATCCAATTCTAAGACTTTGGCTTTTGTACACACTTAGACAGATGCAAAGCTTTGTTGCTGTAAAACTAAGCAATCAAAAAATTAAATTCGAAAGAGTCATCTAAGTGTATATTTGTCTATATCTGGGCTTTCCAAACTAGATAAAATTACGGGTCAATACAAATCACTGAATAGTTTGGAACATAGGTTCATAATAAATTTAGTTTTATTAATTCTTTATTAATTTATCTTTTTATTAAATGAATTTTATCAATATCGGTATTAATAATATTAGTTGTTGCCATACGAAAAATATTTTATTTTTAATATAATGACCTATGGCACTGGATACGAGTTTTTTTAACTAAGTTTTACAAAAAAATATATACTAAACCCTTTGTCAATTGAGTAAACTAACGTTAACTATAATAAATTATTTAAAACATTTTAATTAATTTATTTGGGATAGCATAAAAATAAAGGAATGTAATGTTACTAAAACACAATAAATAAAAATTTGTCTAATTGTGGTAGATTAGAAATATATCGAGGGCCGCACAAATATAAGTCGCAGGCTGCACAAATATTAGTCGCAGGCCGCACAAATGTTAGCCGCAGGCAGCATGAGGCCCGTGGGCCGTGCTTTGGAGAGCCCTGATCTATACTATAGTTATTAAATTAAATATCTAAACACAATTTCTATATTTATAAAAAAACAGCAAATAAAATCTTTTTGAACATTTTATAAAAATTATCTATAGTATATACCATATAATACATAATAATATATCTTATATATAAAATTAACATTGTCAAAATGTTAGTTACCGTACTCCTCCGAAACGGCTTTACCGATTTTTACCAAATTTTATATGCGTATTCAGTAGGTTTGAGAATCGGCTACTATCTATTTTTCATACCGCTAAAGTGATTAGGGTGTCCCTATCCAGCAAAAATATCTTTATTGCTTTAACAAAAATTTTTTTATTTTTTTGACATAAATTTTTTTATATTTTTGAAAAAGAAAACTTGCTATGATATGAAAAGTTGTTGTCTATGAAAATACTGAATTCATAAAACTGCCCCCTAATTTCTGCACTATCGTTAATTCCCAAAATGCTCTCATTGACCGCGTATTTCCAGATGTACACATACAATACAATAGTACAATAATACGCGATTGGTAATTAAAAAATTGATGAAAAACATTATCGAAGCCACCATTTTGAATGGCAAGTTCCGAAACGAAAAAGTTTTATTGCCACGAATTCCAATGATTCTCACAGACATGCCAATTTAATTCAAACGCGTTCAATTTCCTATTAGATTGGCATTTGCAAAGACCATCAATAAGTCGCAAGGCCAAACGATGTCTGTTTGCGGTCTTATAAATAAAATTTCCATGTCACAATGTTAGTTACCGTACTCCTCCGAAACGGCTTTACCGATTTTTACCAAATTTTATATGCGTATTCAGTAGGTCTGAGAATCGGCTACTATCTATTTTTCATACCGCTAAAGTGATTAGGGAGTCCCTACCCAGTAAAAATATCCTTAGTGCTTAACAAAAAATTTTTTATTTTTTTGACATAAATTTTGTTTATATTTTTGAAAAAGAAAAATTTTTTCTTAATATTTTATGTAACTACGCCAACAAGTACATCGAGCATTTACATCGACTTCGTTCTTCGTCTTCGGCTTGCATGGCAGATGGAAAATGTACTAAAAATTTTTCTAAAGATTTCACTAATGATACTATAACAAATACCGACGGATATCCAATATATCGTCGAAGAAATCCCGATAATGGGGGACAATGGCGGGTGGTAACGTATTCGCCTCTGCTAAGCAAGACATACAATGCTTATATTAATGTTGAGTTTTGCAGTTCTGTGAAGAGCATCAAATATATAAGTATGTCCATAAAGGCGGTGGTATGGCTGTGTTTAGAGTAGAAAATACTAATGTAAATGCTCCTCCAATGAACAAAAACGGTGAAATTACGCTCTACCAAATTGGTCGGTACATCACCTCCAATGAAGCTGCTTGGCGTATCTTCGGCTTTCTAATTCATGAACGGGATCCAGCAGCTGTTCAGGTAGCCGTCCATCTTGAAAATGGTCAGCGTGTATTTTTCACGAACGAGACAGTGATTGATCGTGGTACAAATCCACCTAAATCTGCACTCACTGCATTTTTTGAATTGTTTAATAGTACGGATGATTTTGGTGCCTTTGCAAAAACATTACTCTATTCACAAGTACCACGCTATTTCACATGGCCTTAAACAAAAAAATGGATGCCCCGCAAGCAAGTTTCACCAGTTGATGCATGTCTCAATTTATTTAAATCAAACGCTTATTTATAGTTAATCCAAGACACACTGAGTACTTTTATCTTCGACTGTTGTTGGTTAATGTTACTGGCCCATTATCATTATTATTATTTACAGTCAATCCAAGACAATTTAAATTTGAAGATACAACAGTTGTTGCCAGGGAACTTGGTATCATAAAATCTATTGATTTTAAATTAATAATTTAATAAATAAACTATAATAACTTAAAAATAATATTGTTTGGCGTTTGTTATTTTTATTTTCCTTTTCGTTCATAGCGCTCCATGCCTATTTCATGCATATACCACATACTTACACACTTATAATAAGTAACTTACTTTTTGTCTACATTAAAATTTATCTAAAAACTAGAAATAATTTATCAGGCAAAACAACGTTTGTCGGGTTATCTAGTATTTATATATATAGACATATGTTAATATAATATAGTAAATTTCAATTATTAAAATCATATATCATTTTTTATTTACAGAATCATTATAAAGGTGTGTTTGACTGTTTTGCGAAAATGTATCGCAATGAAGGATTATTTTCGTTTTGGAAAGGTATTCTTCCACCAGTGATAGCTGAAACACCAAAACGTGCCATTAAATTCGTTTGTTTTGAACAAACGAAACCATTGTTTTTATTTGGAGCTCCTGCACCAACTCCATTGGTTAGCAATTGAACTTTTTTATTTTAAACATAATTTAATATCATTTTATAGACATTTTCTCTTGCGGGCTTGACAGCAGGTTTGGTTGAAGCTATTGCCGTCAATCCATTTGAGGTTGTTAAAGTGGCACAACAAGCAGATCGTACAAAGATGAAAGAAACTCTTGGCACTTGGGCAGTTACAAAAAGAATCGTTCAACAGGACGGTCTTGGTTTTCGTGGTTTAAATAAAGGCGTTACAGCAACTATGGGTCGTAATGGTGTTTTTAATATGGTTTATTTCGGTTTTTATCACAGTGTCAAAAATATTGTACCTGCTTATGAAGATAATACAAAAGAGTTCTTCCGTAAAGTACTTATTGGCTTCACATCTGGCACTCTGGCCTGCTTTGTAAATATACCTTTCGATGTTGCAAAATCACGTATACAAGGTCCACAACCACAACCGGGTATAATAAAATACAAATCAACATTCGGTTCTATTGCTACAGTTTACAGAGAAGAAGGATTCCGTGCATTGTACAAAGGTTTGGTACCGAAAGTTATGAGATTGGGTCCAGGTGGTGCAATTATGTTATTAGTATTTGAGTATGCTTATGAATTTTTACAAAAGAAATGCATTTAATTTTTTAAATAATTTGTTAATATTGTAATAAAGATTTTATAATTTTATGATAAAAACAATTTTTTATTGAAATAAACTTATAAACACGGGTATATATGTTCCAGAAGTAAAACCATGGATATGGATGTTTTATGATATAAACTATACTAATTATTTAATTATAATCAATATTGGCTTGAACAAGTAGAAATATTAAGTATTTAATAGTTGGTTGATGCTAAGCAAACACTAGGTATTATACCAATTGTGGATTCTTCAAATCGAATCTATATCTATAATTTTGTTTCATATGTTGCAAATGTTTCAAATTACATTAGTTGTTAGTCTCAATTTCATGATCATATTATTTAATATTTCTTATCAGAAGCATTATATTATAAACTAATTTATTACTTAAAATTGATATATAAATATACGATATGGATAAGCTACAATAGCAACTTCATATAGAATTAAAGTCTTCACTTATTTATGCTATATATTTTATTCTACATTCTGCTCAAAAAGTACCCGGATTTTGTTGTTTGTTAACTACTAAGTAATAGTAATAGATAAGTAATAAGTAATAGACCTTTTTCAAAAAACATATGGTACAAGTTTGAGCGCCATCTGTCAATTAGTTTGTTTACAGCAGCTGTTAATGTGAGACTACCTCAAGTGCGTTTAGCGATTTTTACTATGGAAAATTTAGTTGAACAACGAGTTTGTTTGAAATTTTGTGTTTTCAACAAAATTTCATGTGTTGAAGCATTGAAAATGGTGCAGAAAGCTTACAGGGACTCTTCTATGTCTCGAACACAGGCATACGAGTGGTATTAATCATTCAAAGAGGGTCGTGAAGTGTGTTGAAGCATTGAAAATGGTGCAGAAAGCTTACAGGGACTCTTCTATGTCTCGAACACAGGCATACGAATGGTATTAATCATTCAAAGAGGGTCGTGAAGTGATCGAAGATTTGCCTCGTTTTGGACGTCCATCAACATCAACATCAAATACAAAAATCAAGAAAATTGTGCTGGAAGATCGTCGTATGACTAAAAGGGTGATTGCTCGTGACTTAAACATCTCAAATGGATCCGTTCACCACATTCTACATGATATATTGGGCATGAGACGCGTTGCAGCTCGAATTGCACCGAAACACCTCGATTTTTTGCAAAAAAAATCCCGAAAGAACGTGTGTGAAGAAATGATTTATGAGCATAAAAACGACACTACATTCATGAAACTTATCATAACAGGTGATGAGATATGGGTTTATGAGTATGACGTCGAAACCAGTCAACAATCGAGCGAATGTCGCTTCGAAAATGAGCCAAAACCCAGAAAAGTCGCTCGAAAATTAAAATTATGCTCACTGTTTTTTTTCGACTACCGCGGTGTTGTTCATTACGAATTTTTGCCAGAGGGTCATACCATCAATAAAGAATATTACCTCGGCGTTATGCGGCATTTGCGTGAGTCCATCCGTAAGAAAAGACCAGATTTGTGGAAAGCCAACAATTGGATTCGTCATCACGACAATGCTACATCGCACACGGCTCTTGTTGTACGCGATTTTTTTACCAAACACGGCACCACTGTCATCGCTCAGACACCACATTTGCCAGATCTGGCGCCGTGCGACTTTTTCCTGTTCCCGAAACTCAAATTGCTCCTGTGTGGTAAGCGTTTTGAGTCGCTTGAATCGGTAAAAGAGAATTCGCTGAAGGAACTAAAAGCCTTATCTGCACAGGCTTACGCAAAGTGTATGGAAGATATATATATTTATCAACTGATGGTTGGAAAATAATTTGTAGGCAGCCCTTAGAGAGGGCTAAGATCTTTCAGAACATGAAATCTTAGATATGATTTTCTTGTAAGCTTAACACACAATAGGCTTTAGCGACTGTTTTCGTAGAGAGAGGCCGCTGTCTTAGTAAATCAATTTTCAACAGTTTTGCATGAAGAATATTTGATTTTCAACAAAGTCGAAGTTTAAATATTTTTGAAAATGATCTAAGATAATTAAGTTTGACGTTTAAAATATATGTTAAATAATATATATTTTTTATTATATTTTTTTTAAAACAGAATTTTACATTTATAATTTTTTTACTTTGGCTTAACACAATGAACAATTTTCTGTAGGTAAAATTGTTCATTTTCAAAATGCGCAGTTAGTTTTGGCACAAAATTTATCAAAATCATTTTTTGGATACAAAATTTTATGGGGCCTAACCGACCTATGGAGCACTAACTAAATCAAGCAAAAAGCCAAAGAATATTTTGCAACCGGGATCAGAAGAACCTCAAAAATAAAAGATTTCAAATCATTAGGAACTTGAATAACCTGTAGGTGGAAAAAAGAGATCTACATAAATTGCCAATATGACGGACAAAGCCGGAGGAGGTCCTCCCCCAGTCCCTTTTTTCAAAAATGTTGTGTTACAATCTCTTTCAGGTGGTTCTGCAGGATTCTGTGAAATTAGTTTAATGCAGCCTTTAGATGTAGTGAAAACACGACTGCAACTTCAAAGTCATTCAAATGTTGCCCCTGAGGTAAATTACAAAATGATTAATTTTCTGTTTTCTGCAAACAAAGATTTTGTTCATTCATTCGTTCATTAATGAATGAACAAAATATTTTTCTAGGTTTTATTTAATAGTTTTCATTTATTTTACACAAACAACAATTATGCTTAATAACCATTTGATTTTATATACACATTATGCAGAAGTATAACGTTATTTCATTCCAAATAAAGTATCGAGGATATTATTTATTTAACTACGCACCATTACGGCATTTTATGTGAGTGCTTATCTTTCCAATTTTGGATATAAAAAGAATATTCTAATGTTTAGGACCGTTAACGTATATCTATAGAATAATAAAAGCACATATTTATTTGTAAGTCAGTCAGATTGTTGGGCAATAATTTTGACCAACAGCACCAATGATTTTCTTCTTGAATTAAGAAGGCTAACTTTCTTCAGCTAGTTTAAATTAATCTGTTGGCATAGTCAGATACAAGAAGTAAAAAGCAATTACAAATATGATTTAAAGTCATTTAAAGACATTTCAGAAACTTTTTCTGGATTAGAAAAAACTAACTCCATGCTAATTCGCATCCATTAATGCCATATTAAAACTTGTAGTACTCGTCACCAACTCATGAATGACAAAAGATTCTATGAATAATTAATTATAAGTAATAATTTCTAATCTCGATGCTGATATCATAGTTTTAAATGACGAAACCCATGAAAGGTAGTGTAAACATGGATGAAAGTCTTGATAGCTTCGAAAGTGCAGTTGCCAGGAATCAGCTTCGCATGCGACCGACTTACATTTACATATCTTCATAGGAGCGGTAATCATCGCTAACTCGTAGAAGACCAAAGATTCTATATACTTCGATTTGCCTGTATTCATTGTTAAGCACACTTTCTCAGATTTCTTTTTCGATATTAGCAAAGGCAACAATAAGCGAGGAAATGTTATTGAGGAGACCATTGCTTAAGTTATCGCTGTGGGTAGAATTTAACGTAATTCTTCAAAGGTGTTTTAACTTTGTTGGGATGCTAAGTTCAGATATTTTGGTGATACATTATAACGCTATTGAGAGATGCTTTAAAACTGACAAAATGATGGTTGGTTTCGATATGTTATTAAAACTCGTTGCAGTATAAGTAGGGATTGACAAAATATTAAAGCTGCATTGGTAGGATGTTATCAATGAGTTGGACTGTGTACGCTTCAAAAGACTCTCTAAGTGACAATTATAGGTTGATTTCACTATAGTTAATGCAAATCGTCTTGTAGGTATTTTTAGAATACCTACAAGAAATTTTTATGAAAGAAAATTATTCTTTTTCGAATTATTTCAGTTTCTTAATTTCAGTTTCCTATAATATTCTTGAATAGCATTTTAAACGAGTATCACCTTGTATTAGATTTTGATTTTGATAAATAATAAGAACGTATGTAATTGTAATATATTTTGGATCAATATACGGGCATATTTGATTGCATAAACAAAATTTAACAGAGACATTCGATAAAGTCATATTACCATTAATGATGGTCGAAATACCTAAGCGTGCTGTTAGGTTAATGCTTTTCGAATAAAGTACATATATGGTCTCAAGTATATTAGATCTCATTTTTGAGTTATTTATTTACTGCCATAACATATGAAAAATCCGGAGGCAGGTTAATCAATGCTTTTGAGGTTGTTAAAGTACAACAGCAAGCAGCTCGTGGTAAAATGTCTGACAGTGAGGGTGCTATAACCGTTTCTAAGAGAATAATAGCTGAAAAAAAGATTTAAATGAAAAGGCATTAGTAGAGGTATATTCGCATTAGAAGACTGTGACACGTGACGCCAACTTTAATATGACTTATTTTGGTGTTTGGTGTTATTTTGGTGTTTACAAATCAAAAGAGTTGTAAAAGAAATTCTGTTGTGGATATACGTGCTCTGTATTGAGATGTATCTTTAACACACCTTACAGATATTGTGAAATTAACATTGCAGGGACTCCTAAGTATGGTAAAATATTACCATTTAAATGAGCCCAGGAGGAAATAAAGGGAGTGTATAGAGGTCTTGGGGCTCGGTTTTTATGTATTGGCTCCAGAGGAGCTATTATGTTACTGGTGTATGAGCCAGTATACGCAGGCCTCTAATTATCAAAAAAAAAAATAGATTCAATAAACTAAAAAACAAGTAAATATAACTTGATAAATTATAAACTTCATCGAAGTCGTGGTTTGGTACAATAAAATTTGCAGTGTATCCTTGGCACATTGTTTGAAAAAAAGTATTAATGGAAAAACTTAGTAAAGTAACTTATCGGCTAATAAAAACTGGAGTTCACTGTCTGTTTTCAAATTTTGACTCTATACATAACTAGTTGCATTGCAGCCAGTCGAGCCCTTGTAATAGCTCTATGAGAAGGAGGTAGTAAAAAAATTTATTTTTTTATACAACATTGAAATAGACGAAAAAACATTGAATTGTTAACAATTTGATATGCAAGTAAAAACTTGAATTCATAAGCTTGGCTTAGGTTTAGTTTGCTAATACCGTTTAGACTATAAGCGATAGCTGCACGCTATCTGGCCCTGTACATACGAGTACAAATGGCTAGTCAACACCTATACGCCGTTCTAATTGCTTTCATTTTGAACTCGTATCTTTGTGCCAAAAAAGTCTTTTGCAATAACATGTTTATAGTTTTACTTTTTAGAATGTAGCTATGGTATACGTTTTATAAGCCTCCGCACATGAACTGTATTTAATGTATTTAATGTATTTAATGAATACAATTCATGTCTGCACCAATGAAGCAGACAAAAAATCAGCTATAAATTATGACATCTAAGTTTAAATTAAGAATAATTTAAAAATTTAAATATATAATTAATTAAATACATAATACATATTAAAAAAAATTAATAGATTTTATAGAATTACTTTTTATATGGTTCTATGAGGCGGGTTCAACAAGTTTTACTCTCAGCATATTAATTGGGGAGAAACACTTCTCAGTTTTATTTGTTGTACCTTCTGATCAAAAAGTATTCGGATTTTGTAAATAAAACATAAATTTATATTTTATTTCAAATTTATTTTATCTTCTTCAAAATAAGCTCCTTCTGAAGCGATACACATATGCCAACGCTTAACCCAATCTTCCATACACTTTTCGCAGGCCCGTGCAGGTATGGCTTTTAGTTTCTTCGGCGAATTCTCTTTTACCGATTCAATCGACTCAAAACGCTTACCACGAAGGGGCAATTTGAGTTTCGGGAACAGGAAAAAGTCGCACGGCGCTAGATCTTGCGAATATGATACCTTAGCGATGACAGTGGTGCCGTGTTTGGTCAAAAAATCGCGTACAACAAGAATTTTCCATAGTAAAAATCGCTAAGTGTACTTGAGGTAGTCTCACATTAACAGTTGCTGTAAACAAACTAATTGACAGATGGTACAATTAGTACCATATGTCAAGAAAGGGGGTACCAACATAACAAAAAAAAAAAAATTTTGAAAAAGGTCTATTACTTAAGGAGTAGTTAACAAACAACAAAATCCGGATACTTTTTGAGCAGAAGGTATGTTTCATTTTTAGGAAGTCGATTATTAATACGCTCTTGACAGTTAATACCACAATCTTCGCCTTCTGGAGAGCACTTTCAGCTTTTCCAATCTCAAATTTGGAATGTATTTTGATGTTCTCCATAGGTAAATATTGCATCCATATTTGAATAACAATTGAAAATCTGTTTGTTCTTGGTGTGAAAATTTGAAAATTTTGGCGCCAGTAGCTTTTAAATTTTTGTCATTTTTGTAATTCTAATAGTCCTGATTAGAATAATATTGAAGTTAAATCAGTCCTTTATGATATTAAAATGTAGTTGATGATTTTTGATTATGTAGATATAAGGAATAATCTACATACGCTGCTTATATTTGCAGAATTTTTCTACTAAGTAAGCGAAGTTTAAAAAGTATATGTCGAAAAAAGGTATGACTGAATAAACGTGGAGGTCCAGTACACAATGTGCTTAAACCATAAACTAAACGATATTAATTCGGTATTTTCTGAACCAGTAGAGGCATTAATTGAAAGTCATATTTTATGTAATTTTTCAGTAAACTGAAAAGAAATAAACTACTGGGACTGAAATTAGTATAAAACGTAAAATAAGATGATTAAATTTTTTATTTTATGTGAAGCTTTACTATTTGGCTATTAGTAGAATAAATTGTATGGAAAAACTTTGTTCCATTTTTTGGATATCGCAGATAGAAGTAAAAAAAGCTATAAAAATTTTAAGGATTTTTTGCACATTCTCAATCATAAAATTTCAATGTTTATTAAAATTAAATATTTTTTACACGCAATGAATAACAATATCCTAAGCTTTAAAAAGAATCACAAATGATTACTTTTCAATAAGTAATAAATAAGTTATAAGGGTTTAAAGTTCGCCCAATTTTTGCGAAATATCAATTTTTAACAGAGGATCGCTCCCACTTTTACCATAAAATATTATTGTTACATACGTAATAAACATCATTAATCTTATAAAAGAAAAACATTTTTTTTAACAATAATATAAAATTTTTTATGAAAATTTTGTATGGAAGATGGGTGTTTAAGTGGGCGGAATATCATGAATTGGGCATATGTATTATAGTACATGTGTTTAGTACACAAAATTTTATTATTCTTCTTATTACAGTTTTTGAGTTATATAAAAAAATGAAAAAATTGACTATATTTGCGCCCAAATTTAGAGGGGTTCCGGTTAACCAATTGGACTTAAAATACATAAAAGAAAGGTCATCTCAAAAATTATATTTAAGAAAAATTTTGTTTCAATATCACTACTGGTTCAGAAAATACTGAATTTCTAATCGTCTAACTTCTGTTTTGATACATCATGCGACGGTCGTCGGATATATTCGAACTGCAACATTTACTGCTGCTCCAAAGCTTGACTCGATTTTTAATAATTCTGGAACTTAAAAATCAGAATATATTTCAAATACTTAAAAGAAACTTAAGGTATCGTATAATAGAGGACTTTATTTCTCTATGGTTGAGGCTTGTCTGACTTATTATACTGTTTTAAATAATGATTGATTTATTTGTGCAAATTTGGTCATCTATATGAAATCTAGTGCTTTATGGCACTATACTAAAATTTCTATTTATATCATCCATCAAATAGGATAGGATCACTTTGTTGCTATTCTTGAATTATATTTAAATACTCGTAACTACGATTGGAATAGTGTAATCGTCGCACAGTGGTTTGAGATCATTTTTCATCTATATTCTTTAGTATCATTATTCTGTATTCTTTAGTATCTTGACTATAAAATTCAAAAATAACTGTTAAAAAATTAATTTTAAGAGGACTTCAATATTTCAGCGAATTAATTATACAAGCATATAATATTAATTATACAAGCATTTTATATAACTTTATATTAATTTTTTATAAATGATGAGCAAGTTTAACAAAAATATAACATTTGTATTTTGTAGGATCAATATACGGGTATTTGGGATTGCATCAAAAAAATACGAAAAAATGAGGGAGCAATGGCATTCTACAAAGGCATATTACCACCAATGATGGTCGAAATACCTAAGCGAGCTGTTAAGTTTATGTTTTTCGAACAAAGTATACGATTCTTTTTATTTGGACAAGAGAAACCTATGCCAATTGTATAAGCACTTACACTTAAGTTTAATAAAAAAATATAAAATATTTCTTATTTTAGAGTTATATACTTGCTGGGGTGTGCTCTGGAATAGGCGAAGGCACTGTAATTAATCCTTTTGAAGTTGTTAAAGTACAACAGCAAGCAGCTCGTGGTAAAATGGCTGATAGTGAGGGTGCTATGGCCGTTGCTAAGAGAATAATAGCTCAAAATGGATTTGGATTGAAAGGCATTAGTAGAGGTTATTTTGCGACAGTATGGCGTGAAATCTTTTTTAATATAGTTTATTTTGGTGTTTATCGTTCTATATTGGACGTTTTGCCAGTATACCCTGAAAAACCTAAAGAGTTGTTTAAGAAATTCATTTGCGGATTTTCATGTGCCATATTGGGATGCCTCTTCAATACACCTTTCGATATGGCAAAATCTACATTGCAAGGACCATTAGGTATGGTTAAATATTTCACTATATGGGGTACATTTAAATCAGCATATGCTGACGATGGATTAAAGGGAGTGTATAGAGGTCTCGGACCTCGGTTATTACGAATTGGTCCCGGAGGAGCAATTATGTTACTGGTGTATGACCAAGTATACGGATTCTTGTATCGTACTTTCCATTATGCAGGCGGCCCCTAATAATTAAACAAAATACAATAGATTCAATAAATCAAAAAATAAGTACAAAAAAATTGTTTCATTAACGTGTAAATAATAACGTAAATAATAGATTTCATCAAGTCATACTTTAGTAAATTAAAACTTGCAGTGTATAATCATAACACATTTATGATTAACTGGATATTATGATTAACATTTCACATCTGTTTAATTCTGGTAGCCCAAAATTAACATCATTCATGTGTTCCCAAATTTCTTCTTTGCATTTTAATAAATTTATTTTTATAGACCATTTTTGGACGAATATGTAATGTGCGTATCTAGGACTGAAAGTAGACACAATATATCTAACAATAGCAGAATATATGTTTTCAGTTGAACCGTTCTAATTTTTAAAAGATCTGCCCCATAAAAATTTGGTAACATTAAAAATTTAATTACTTAATTTTTAAAACAAACATGACTATTTTATAAAATTTTATTTAAAAATAAGTGATTCATTAACAAAATATAATAAAACAAATTCTGTCAGTTGCAATTAAAGATTCTCGTTATCAAATTTGATTAAAAAATCAATATTTAGTATTACAAAAAGACGTGACTTTACACTTCTATAAAAATATTTATAATAAATATTTCAACATAAATTTCTAATTTCTAAATTTGTTTCACAAAAATTAAAAATTTAGGAATTTTTGCCGAATGGAATTGATTTTAAATGGTTGGGCGCCGAGAAGAAGACATTATCTGCTGAGATAATGATTACTCAATAAACAGGTTCAAACCAAAACTACTTGGTATCTAATTATTATCGTTTATATAACAACGGCGTATTTTTTGATTACCTTTATTACATTAGAATGCACATAATTTACATCGATTGTTTAAATACTTGAAATTTTATAAGAAGTAATTTATACCCAAAAATATTTTATTTTCACCTACTGTGCAAATAAATGGATGTTTGATGTTTTTTAAAAGAATGTTATGAGTGAACCAAGTTTATGATGAAAATTGCTTAACTCTTGACAAGTTCGAACTGCATACATAGTTAAAAAATGGTCGCAATATTACCTTAGTTATCATAAAGTAATACAAAGCAAAATTGGTGACAAATTTACCTTTACCGTGTGCTCAGCTTCTCCGGTCTTAAGATTAGTTAGAGCTGCTTTAACTTAATCACTCCACAGGAGATGCGATCTACCTCTACATCTTCTTCCTCCAAATATCTTCAAATACCTGTTTCGCTAGAGCATCTTCATCCATTCTCACGACATGACTAAGCCAGCGAAACCGCTGGATGTTAATTTGTTGAATTATGTCCATGTCGTGATAAAGCTCGTATAGGTTGTGGTCCATATGGATGCGATAGTCGTCAACGCGTAGATGATCAAAGATCTAATGAAGAATTTTTTCTTCGAATACTGTCAGTGCTATTTCATAGTTCTGTAATAACGTCCATGCTTCTGCGCCATACAGAAGCACAGGTAGGATTAGCGACCTATAGAGCATAAGTTTTGTTTGACGAGACAGAGCTCTACATCTAAATTACCTACTGAATACCTTGTGATCAAAAAAGGACTTTAATTTTTAATTTTTGAATTCCCCCGCTTATCCAATCAGTGAATTTTTTTTATTTTCACTCTGGCAACACTATAATACATATTCTGTCAAAGTTTAACGCATATCGTACGATTAGTTTTTCTTTGGCGTCTATACAAAGAAGTCGAAACATTTTCGTGTGGCTATTTTTACCTTATGGCCTCTATGGTCTCAAAACACCTTCCTCACAATGGCAATTTTAGTCGGGGGAAGACGAAAAAGTTAGACGGGGCCATATCTGGAGAGAACGGTGCTTGGTAGATGATATTGGTGAAGTTTTTGGCCAAAAACTGCGGCTTTTTTTGAATGAAATTCAGTTTTTTTGCCACCAGCCAAGAAACCACTCGTTTCAAACCCAAAACATCAGTTAAAATGTGTTCGGCCGATGAGATGCCTAACAACACTGCAGTCTCTCTAATCGGTTCACAACGATTTTCCAATACGATATGCTTCGCCGATTCAATGTTTTCTTTAGTAACAAAAGTTGTTGGGCGGCCAGGGATCTCATCATGGTCCAAGCAGGTACAACCGTTTTGAACCTTTTAAACCATTTGTATACTTGTGATTGCGACACACACAAATCACCAAAGGTTTTTTTTAACATTTTTTAACAGTTTCGGCACACTTGAATCCATTTGCAACACAAAATTTAATTTGATTGATTGAGATTTGATTTTTGATCCATTATAAAAATCGCCACACGAACATTTTTCGACTTCTTTGTACAGACGCCAAACAAAAACTAATCGTACGATATGCGTTAAACTTTGACAGAATGTATATAATAGTGTTGCCAGCGTGAAAATAAAAAAATTTTACCGATTGGATAAGCGCGGGAATAGTAAAATAGGCCTCTCTTTCTTTTTTGATCAGAAGGTACATAGTAGCACCTATTGGCGATAGTGATTCTTTGTATGTTCTCTAGGCTGACATTCTTGTTGTTTGTTTGTAGATAATATCCTTGACGGCTTTGAAAGTGTAGTCACCAGCCACTACATTAACGTCTGAGCGTCGCACATTTCTACCAGTAGCAGACATATACTTCTTTTTGTCCTCATTCACCATTATGCTCATCTTCCTAGATTTCTTATCGATAGCAGCAAAGGCAGCTGTGTACTTTACATTGGTGAAAACCGTCTCTGAAAATTTCAACTCTTTATAAACCTCATCCTTTAAATGAACAATAGATAATAGAAATCAAAAAATTTGATTTCAATTTAAAATGTGATTTTGAAGAACATGATTTTAAATTCGAGCTGGTTACTGTCGGATAGAAGTTATTTGAATATACTAAACTAATTTATGTATATATATTAGTAACTAAGGATTAAAGGTGACTTAGAGAGCAAAACAGCTGTCAAATTGTCATGCGATAAACAATATATACAATAGGTAATAATTATAAATAAAAACATAATATAATGAAATTGAAACTATTTTGCTATTTTGTAGCGGAATTGAGTCACGAGGACACATACCTTTCAGGAAAATGCAAATCACTCATGCATAAAGGCTCAGTTAGACGGTAGGTAACGTAAGAAATTTTATTCGAAGCGAAATGCACAATCAACCAAACCTGCGTATTTGATAGGAACGCAATAAATAAAAACAGTGTACTTTGTTTATTTCGCTTCTATCAAACACACACGTCTGGTTGGTTGTGCATATCGCAATGAATTAATTTCTTACGTTACCTACCATCTAACTGAGCCTTAATAGACAAAACTACCTCTTACGTTACCTACCATCTAATTGAGCCTTAATAGACAAAACAAAACACACTAAAGAGAAAACAATAAGTTAACAATGTTAAATTCCGTACACATTACTTAGTTCTTGAGGACAAGAAGAGAGAGAGAGAGTATATTACATATGTGTGAAAAGTATGTATGTATACGGGCTCTAATACCATTTATATATATAATTCCATAGTACAATTTTGTAGCACTAAAATGTGTTCAATTTTTTTCATTTTGCATTCTAAAGTGTTACCATTGAATGAGATATTTTTAATTATACTATAAGTAAACGATTTCTAAATATTTTAATGACTTTTAAAAACAAAAACTAGTTTTTATTTTTTTTACTAAATAAGTTCTTAAATAAATTTTAATTTTTAGTAGAACAACAAAATATTGAAGTGTTTACAAGTAAGTGAGTCATAAAAAATATATCCGTTACTGTTTATTTATTATATATATAATATAGATTTATAAATAAATTATAATTTAATATTTTTTATTAGTTCAGAGGTTTGACATATTCATAAGATGATAATTGCTCAAAAAACAAATTTTTAGTTTAAAAAAAGAAGTTATCAACCTTCTTTATGTTTCTATTATTGTTTAAATATTCTACTTTACTAAAAAAAATTTTCATTTTTTATGACACATTTTTCTCCTTCTTGATTCTTGATTCTTCTTCTTGAGTTACTGCTATTACGCACTCTTACTCTATAATGGCTGGGGGGCTTATCTCTAATCATTATCTCTTATCATTTATTTGTCTTTTAGTTGATGACGGACCTTAAATCATCGATAATATCTTCTTGAGAGTCCAGAAGTGGACTTAAGGATTGTTAGGGCGAGGTTAAGTAGCGTATCAACTTTAGTGAATAATTTTAGAGCTCTGTCTCTGATATATTTTTTTTCACTGAGTCAATCCTAAGATCTCTATGTTTGTTGTTTGTCTGTTGATCTAATATACCATGGAATCTTAAACAGTCTTCTTAAAGCCAGGTTTTGTGCTATCTGTAATTGTTTTAAGGTAAGGCTTTGCTATATGTAACACATCCGTACAGTAGTGCTGGTCTAATTACTTGCTTATAAAGTAACTTTCTGTTTTTAAAGTTGAAGTGATAATTATTAAATAGCGGTTTTAATAAATGTAGAATCTTAGAGCAGCTATTCCGTTTGTATTTCTCCTCCCGAATTAATAAATTGTGTCAGTTGACTTTCTCGAAACGAAATTGAATATAAGTTATCGCCTTTTGTATTAAACAAGTTATAGTATAGGAAGCCTATCTTATACAGCTCACAGCTTATAAGGAGCGGATAAGGTCAACAGATAAAACAATTTCGTATATCAGATTAAAAACTAAAAAAAGGTTTTTGATATTTAAGATGTTCAATCAGTTATAAGATTATAATATTTAATTCCTTTAGCATTTGATTTGACTAGAGCCCAAGAAAAATATTTAGCTTATAAAATAAAACCCAATGGCATCATCAAAACATCATTTATGATAAAATTTTGTAGATCGAGATGCTCTAACTAGCTGATACTTAAACAGCACAATGCTAGCTTACAGAAATAATGTTCAGTGTATAGTTCTAACGAAGCTCAAATGAATTGTAAATCGCTGGTTATAATGGAGGTACTTGGAGTTGGAACTTCTGGAGTTACTACTGTCTACGAGATGGCATATTAATACGAAAATTGAGAAGTATTAATTAATCAATGATGTTTTGGTATTCTAAAAATGTAGTTGAACAAACAATAAACGCAAAACTGTCCTTCTAAACAAGCTCATGACTAACAGGGGAGGACCCATTTCAGTAAAGTAAATATTACTGATTACTGATAACAACGATAAATGCTAGCTTACTGCATCGTAGCAGTGTATAGAACAGCAGCCAACAAGCAATTGGCCAACAAGCAAAGAAGTATCAAAAATAGCACAAGAAAGATGAAGCAATAGTCCACAAGTATAATAGCAGCTATATTAATATGTAATATAATCAATTGACTCAACCGAAAATCGGAAGACAAAAAGCGGTTCCAAGGGGAATTAGTTCTGTCAAAAAAGGAGGATTTCATTTCGTATACTATATATGCTAGGGAATCAGACACACCATTTCGACGATGGTTGAATTGATGGTGCATAACTAATCTATCTCTTCACCACAAAAAAAAAAACAGTCTTTTTTTTAAGACTTTTTTTTTTGTTTCAACTAAGGTAAAGCAGCGGAAGGGAGGACAATGCATATTTTTTTGGGATATAAGAGAAATAATTTACAATATTTGACTTCAAAGATAAAGGAAAAAACATTATAATTATCACTATTGTTCTATATCAACCACTCAAGAATTCTATATCAAACTCAAGAATTACGCTATTAAATGCTTATATACATCATATTTTCCAGTTTTGACGTCAATAATGAAGTATAACGCCCATATTGAGCACGTTGATCGATTATAACTTCATAACTATAACTTATAACTTCAGTATTTATGTTTCGTTCTGATTTTAGTTTTATGTATATGTATGTATTAAAGATGATGGAAAAACAATATATATTTTATTATCATATTATTGTGATCAGTGTAACTATGAACTCCTATATAATCCTTAAAAAGGACTCATTAACTGCGCTCACATATTACCGGGTAGTTTTTTCAAAGTTGTTGTACTTTAATACAATGTGAATACTTTTTATCAAATCAAATAAATCCGTAAAAATGTTACTCTTTCATCTTAAATTAGTTAAAGATGTTAAACAAAAAGTATCATTATCATTCGTGACTATACAGTTCATGTAGGACATAAGCCTGTTTAACAACAGTCTTCCATTTTTCTCTGTTTTTTGCTTTTGTTTTCCAATTTTTCTCTTCTTCTGCTATTTCGTTCTCATAAATCTTAAGCGGTACTCTCATAATAGGTATTCTTAACACATGTTCCACCCATCTTAATCGCTGCGATTTCATAAATTTGTTGATTGTATCACCTTTAGCTAGCCGTTTTCGCTCGTAGTTGTAACTTATGCAATACATCCCGCAAAATTACTAAAATAGTTAGAAGAGCGATCAAAGAGAATTTTATTATATTTATTTAAGTGCTACAATAAAGCACATTAGAAACAATTTGTTACACTAGAAACTCTTTCAAATTATGATTTTATATAAAAGGATTTAAGACATGTACTAAAAGATGAGTTTTTTTTTATGGTCACGGGATCTGGGATCAAAATTAATATTTATCGATTTACAGAAATATATTATTTTTTTCGACTTTTTCCTTTTGTAGTCTTTTTTAGAACTTTTAGTTGTGAGTAATAAATTCATATTACCGCGAAAGTAAAAAGCAACAGTTATAAATTGATAAAAAGTTTAGAATTTTTAAGTGTGTTGATCTCCATGTCGAAACCCATATATCCATATATAGATGTGCTGCTTGCATATGTTAATGATCTTGATACTGATGACCTTATATCCTCGCCGTCAGTGAGGGTTTTTGTTACTTAGAAAAACAAACGAAGCTAATAGATCTTTTAGTAAATGTTTAAACTTTCTATCAAGAGAACAATATCCTAGACGTTTTAGAACCTACGTCACTGTTACCAATTAAAAGTTTGAAATTATAAAAGACTTTGTTTATCTGAGAATTAGCATAAACACGACAGTCTAGAAATTCCGACAATAGATAGTACTTCGGGCTGGGTAGGTCACTCTTTAATCACACCTATTCTGCTGAACAGTGCAGAAGATTGAACAATAATTTAAAGCAAGAGAAGGCATTGAGTGCATTCCTGTCCCGCACGCTTTTGTAACTAGTATACAAGCAATACAATATCACGTGTTAAAAATCTGTTAGTTCGCGGGTTTAAATATTTCTTTGAATGGTTGGAAAGGTATTTGATTTGGTAAGTTTTATATGTAAGGCTATAAGAGATTTTCACAAAGCAGTTAAGTACGACGATGGTTTGTAAAAAATATCAAAACTCATGAATTAAATGAAGTTACTTTCTTATTAGGCTAAGAAGAGAAATTTAAAAGATCTTTTTCGAAGTTAGTATTTAGGTAACAATATTATACATAAATATCTATGAATATGTGACTGGACATCTAATATTAGTCTAATATTTGACTTTGAGTGTGGCTAATAATATTACTTAATTAAACTGTAGGTTTTTAATAAAGTAAAAATTATTAATAGAGAGGTTTCGAACAGTAGTGAACTACAACAACAAAAAGTATTTTTGTATTATTTTAATTAATTGAATTTTTTATTAATTACATTTTTTGCTGGCCACACAGCTGTTTCGAGTATTGCCAAATATCCATCATTAGTGGTCTTGGAAATAATTCTTGTATTTAATTAGTCATGAATAATTTTTTGAGACTGCAAGTACCAGGGATTGTATAAAATTAAAAAACAAATTAATATTTAGATTTTGTTTTCTAAATTTTTGAATGTCTTTGAGTAATTACAGTTTCTAAGATTAATAGATTAAAGTGTTGACCACAGATTGATTTGTTTACAGAATATCATTAACGAATCTATAAATTTAATAAAAATGACCGAAATTAATGGTTAAGACATTGAGTCTGATTGCTTAAGTGTTCATTAAAATAAAATCATATTTTTGGTGTGTAGAAATAAATTTCAGTTATTAATCCATATTTTAAGTTTTAAATTTTAGCTTTGAACTTATATTAAACTTGATTGAAACTATAGAACGCAACATGACATTGGTACGGTATGTGGAGGCAAAATTAGACCTGAAATTATCTCATTCGTGGATACTAAAAACTTGAAATATAAATCTAAAAGTTGTTTAGAGCAAATATTTGCAATTTGCCTAAAAGTTATGCAATTAAAGTCAGTATCAAAAATATTTGCATTCGAAATATAACAAAATAATGAATGGTCTTATACACATACATAAGTAAAGTGTTACATAGAAAATAATTGTGGCACATATTAAATAGTACAGTCTGGATGGAAAAATGCAATCATGTTGATATTAGGAAACAATTGAAAACATGACAGTAACAATTTAATTGTATTACTAAAAATTATTATATTTAGTTGAAGGCACTAAAATGAAACTACTCTTTTCATTATTTATTTTTTTACGATGTCGTTATGTATTATTAAGATTATATGGCTGTTATATACTTTAATAATAATTTTGATTTAAAATTGCATTAAAAGTTTAATGCACTGATACTTATAATTATATTTGACTCTTTTGTTGTGATTTGCTGAAATTACTACTGCTATGCCTAAGTGATTAGACACGGACTAAGTCTTGAAAAAACACTTATCAATTAGTCATGCCGTCAAACAGGCGTGGCACACCTCTTTCTGTAGAAGTTCAATGTTTACTAATAATTGTCAAATAAAATTGCAACTTGTGCTTTGCATAAAAATTGCCTAACCATTATCGGTGCGTGTATCTTACTTCAGTCAGATACTTTCGCAATCACATAAGTGTGCTACTAAGGTTCATGTATTGCCATTTGCATTTGCGAGTACAAAGTGAACTATTTGGCCATTCAGTTGCTCCATCCTGCAGTTTAGACAAAAGTCTAACAATTGCTAAAAGAACTCGTTCAACGTGTTGCAACTACAGCCAGAGCATTTTCATGTCATAGACTGATAGACTGTTACAATTGCAGGCAAAGTGAAAATAAGGCTACAACTAAGCTCAGCGGTCACAGTTCTTAGTTGGATTTCAACGAGTGCGGTTTATATTAGCGCTTAAAAAGAAAGTGAAAACAAAACTAAGTTTGAATAAGAAAAAACGGTTGAGGTTATAAGAAATAAAAGCAAAATGTTGCAACTAAGATTAATTTGTTTTGGTGTGATGATTTGCTCTGTCATTGCAGCGATAACCGAAAATCATGAAAATAAAGATATTCCCAACACAAAAAGTGAGGAACGTGTTAAACGCAGCTTCGATTTGTTCCTACGCGCACTTCTATCAAAAAGTGCACCCTTCTCTTCCAATTTCCCATTGCAACCATTACCCACGACTACGATGAGAACAACAACTACGCAGACACCAGCTCCTCCAGCAACAATGGCACCTACAAAGCCACCACCAATGCCACCAGCAATGCCACCAGCTATGATGCCACCAGCTATGATGCGACCAGCTATGATGCCACCAGCTATGATGCCACCAGCTATGATGCCTCCAGCAATGATGCCACCAATGATGATGAATGGTGGTAATGGTCAAATGGCAAATGGTAGTAATGGTCAAATGACAAATGGTGGCAACGGTGGAAATGGTCAAATGAATAATGGTGGCAACGGTGGGAACGGCGGAAATGGAAATAGTAACGGAAATGGTAATGGCAACGGAAATGGTAATGGCAACGGAAATGGAAATGGCAACGGAAATGGTGGTAATGGGGCTAATGGTGGTAACGGTGGTAATGGTGGCAATGGTGGTAATGGTGGCAACGGTGGTAATGCAGATTATTTCGATTATCTAGACTATGATTATGGATATCCTAATAATGGTGCACAATTTTTACGTAGACCTGGATATGGAGGTGCCAATTTAGCTGGTCCAAGAAGAAGACCAAAACGTCCACCACTAGCTCAACCAAATTATGGCGGTGTTAAAGTTGCACAAGGACAAGGACATCGTTTTGGTAATCAGCAATATGTGCCTAATGCTTTCTATCCAAACAGTTATGTTATACCTGGTCAAGGTAATAAATATAATCTCAACTATGGAGACTATGATTACGCGCATGCGGTACCAATTAAGCCTGTGCAACGCTTTAAACCTACTTACAGTCGTCCGCAATTCCGTGGCATTCCTGGTGGCGCTCCAACATACGAAAGTCTCTTGTATCAATATGAGCAACCTGATGGTAAAATAAATGAACTTGTTACTGATTGTCTTAACATTGGATTTTCTCGCTCAATTTGCAGATACCTACACGTCAGATAGTGCTGTACCATTTAATGGTCTCGATGACAGCATCAATAGTGAAAATGTTCCCAATAATATCGATGATTCTAATACAAATGACAGTAACGATGATGCAACCAGTGCTGCTGATGATGACAACACAGCAAATACTAACGACAATAACAACAATAATAATGCACCCTTAATTGTGAATAATGAAAATGGTGATGCTGAGGATGGAGAAGATACAAAAATTCCAAATAATCTACCAATACGTCTACAACATCAGCCACAAATTGCATATTCATTTGTCCCACAAAAATTGCAATATTCTACTGCATCGCATGAATCACCACAATATTATTACTCAAATAGCAAATATGATGGTGGTATATCTGCTAAATCCCCTTCCTATTATTCATATTCTCCAGTTGAGTCCAAAGCATACCATCAGCCAGTCCATAAAGATTATTTAACATCGAAATCCATTGATGTTGGTATATCTGATAAAACCCCTTCATATCATTCATTCATTCCAGTTGAATCGAAGACATATCACAAACCAGCTGAAAAATCCTATTCTATATCAACTTTTGATGACACTTTATCCGCTAAATCTCCTTCCTATCATTCATATACTCCAGTTGAATCCAAGTCATACCATAAGTCTGTTGATAAAAACTATCCCACATCGACTTCCTATGTAGCACATGATGCAAAACAATACCACGCCCATTTTGTTGTTCACAGACATTAAATATTATAAATTTTGCTTTTATATTTATTTTATTTAGGTAAATTGGACATCATCGTTTCAGTCATCCACATTTCCTCCATTTTTATACGATACATTTACGAATTTTATTAATATTAAAAGATTTTATGTAAAAATAAATAAAATACTATATATATATTTTTATTCCTACATTTTCGGGAAATTTCTACCTAAATTAAAAGTTTTATTGTTGTGTTTTCTTTTTTGTATTTGTGAAGTCCTTTAGCGACATTACTTAAGTAGTTTGGGAATTAGAGTAATATATTAGAAAAAGGGAACTAATTTAATAATCCCTAATAATCTCTTACGAAGCTGTGCTTATCTAATATTCGATTATCTAGCTCACATTATATAGATTATATGGTAGTGTTTCTTCTTACAAATCCTCTTCAATTAGAACTAAGATAGCCTTTTAAATTTAATATTTAAATTATAGGTAAATGGATGGGCATATTAAAACGGGTTGATTGATAAATCTAAGTATCTGATCAAAACTAATGTTGAAAATATCACAGAGTGTGTTAAAATATAGGACGCTAATAGCTTAAGTCTAGATGTGAACAAGTTTTGGCATAGATAAAAAAGGTGTTTTGATGCCTCCTCTTCTAGCACTGGTGCACATGCACTGCTTCTGTACTACATAAGATTTCACAGGTCAGCCTGAGCTTACCTCCATGCAGTCCTAAAGTCTAGTATCCCGTTAGGATGAATATTAACATAGATACTTCCAATTTACTTCTATGTATCAAGTCGTAGGTTATACATTTTAAACATTTAACGATAATTTTATTGATTTATTATGTTATATTAAATTTGTATATGATTTAATGATAAATTTAAATCACTTTCAATTTCGTAATAATATATTTGCAACAAAATTGAAACAATGTCTTCTCTTTTTTGATTTTTCAACAGTAGATTGATATAAAGCTCAAATCTGATATTTCTTCTAAATATCTGAGTCTCTGGCAATAACGGGCTCAACTTCAAAAGTTGAGGTTTTAACGTTAGAACAACATTCTTGATACTGTTTAAAATTTTATCTAAACATTTTTCAAATTGCTTACGTTTACGTTACTTAGCTCTTATTTTTAAACAACACATTACATTAAAATATTAAAATATTACATTACATTAAAATATACTTGAATTTTAAAGGATCAGAAATTTATTTGAAAAATTGGTAATAAAATAGTATAGACAGTACATAATGTGTGACATAAATTCGCACAAAGTTCGAGATCAGAAAAAGAAGACAGTCCATTGAAATCTTTATTTGACTTCTTTTTCTTTGCTTTTTGAAACGTGAGTTATTATCTAAAATATTTTTACTAAATAATGTCTGTGACCACTTAAACGATCCACTGTAATAAGAACTGTATTGAATTCTGATAATGAGATATTCAAATTAACAGAAGCATAGTTTGAAGCCCAGCATATCTTCCTGACGGAATATATATTGCATTTGATTTGAGAGCGTACTTTTGAATTAGGATCGAAGATCTTCCTCTATATAACAGATGTAATAAAAGATAGTATAAAACTAAGAACTAACGACCTTTAAAAACTAAAGTGCTTTTACGAGAATAGATTTAATGAAAAAGATCTGAACTCATGAATTTTATATTATTACTCTGCTTTAAGTTATTATCTTGAATTTATTAAAATTTATAAAAATATAATTCTGCTTTCGCGGTCTGATTAGGTTTAGCTTTTTAATATATAACCATTTGTTTAAAATTTTGTTTTAATTATGATCTAAGTAGGTTTAGTTATTTAATACATAAATTTTAAGGTGAGCAAAGTATAATTTTAAATAAAAAATTATTTTTTTAAACGAAGTGTGTTATTTTCTTCTAATTCAAAATCGAGTAGTTGTCCTGGATTTTGGAAGGATCTTCTGAAATCAGCTGATTAATAATAAGGAGAAGTAAACTACAATATTTCTGGTAAATATTTTTGCTTTCAAATAATTTTTTTATACGAAGTGGACATAGAATATTCGTTATTTTTTAATAAAAATAATAAATATTTTTACGATTTTCAAAACAATTGAATTAACCCCAAATTAAAACAACAAAATGGGGTTGCAGACATTGATACAAATGGTAATTACACGGGGCTATATTAGGATTACATAGTGAATTTATAAAAACATCTACTTCCAAAGTTTTTCAATTATTTTAGGTTTTGAAAAATGTTGCCCTGGTTATAATGAAAACTCTTAAATAAGTTTTAAAACAGTAACACTATATCACTAAACAATCAAGTGTTTCCTAATTATTTATAAGCGTAAGCCAACTTTTTTTTGAAAAATTCCAATTTATTATCTCTAGGGATAATTTTTGTTTTTGTTTTCTATAATCATCTCATTATAATATACAATTCCTAAAACTTCTTTTTATACAGAAAAGGATTATGTAAATAAAAAAAAATACAAAAACAATAGAAATAGTTCTTACAAAAATAGACTTCAAATAATTAATAGAAAATAATTTTTATGGTCTGGCAATGCTAGAAAAAATTTCTAACAAACTTCAATTCAAGTTACCTTTCAAATTTATCATTTTTATAGTCAAAATATATTACCAGAGAAGTTAGTTTCTATAAATAAACGAAAAAAAGCAGTTAATTTTTTTTTTTAAAATAAATTTTTCAGTTTAAAAATTGAAAACTTCATTACAGTTTTTAATTTAAGCAATTAAACTAAATCCGCAAAATGGCTGACAAAAATAAAATGAATGCTGCTCAGCGCAAAGCCAAGGCAGAAGCAGATAAACAGGTGCACGCCCACGTTAAAACTTTGGATGATCTTAAAATGTGTTGCAAAATCGCTGATAATGAGAGGAAATTCTATTTGGGAAAATTACTTCAAATAGATAAACTTTGTAAGGCTCATCCAAATGATCATCCAGTAATTCCTCGTGTCATGCGTTTAGCAACTAAGGGTTTGTCATATTCTAAAGATAAAGACGGTGGAACTGAACCAGGTTCATCTGATCAACATTAGAAGCACTTTCATATTTTAAAGGTAAATAATTAAGTTTCTGATATACCAAGATATGAAATTTTTAGATTAATGTCTTTATCATAGTTCCTGTTTTCTCTTTGTGATGTATTCTCTAATTCAAAAAACAAACTTTACTTTGTGGACAAAAACGAAAACTACGGAACACTTCGGAGAAAATGATTGGAGGTAAGATAAAATATTATATAAAAATCAGAAACTATATAGGTATCGTTTTAGGGGCTGCAATATGAAGACTAAAAAGGGTCTGGAACGTTCAACACATTTACTCATTTATTTAATTATTCTTGTTGCATTTTAACCTGTTAAGATGTGATCGAATAAATGAAATCATTTAACTTAACTGAAGCGTTTAAATATTTTTAAATTGAAACAAAAATATATTTATGAATATATTAAAAATATATTAAACTAGGTTAATAGACGTATTATAATGATAAATGATGATACTATGTCACCTCAACACAATGGTGTAACTAGAATATACCAATGGAGGGGATATACCAAAAATATTTTTTTGCTGTTTATATATTGTACATTATTATATACATACAATATATATATATATATAATTTATATATACATATATACAACCTTTATTCGAAATTCCAATAATCAGCTAGTTAGTTAATCAGCTAAACTTTAAATCTTCTCTGTGATATTACACCAGACCCAATTATTAGTGAATTCAACTTCCATGTGACTAAGACTGGCATAACATCACACTATTTTTCAAGACGGTAAAACGTCTAACGTCACAATTTAAAATAACGACATCGATATTCACACTATATATTTTGAAAAATAAGATGATTCAATTTTCGATACAAAGTTTTAGTTTTTATTAATAAAACATTTGACATTTTCTTTATTTTTTAAATTACCAACGCGAGAAATTGAAATATATGCAATTAATTATTAAAATAAATTTTAATACTAAATAATTATTATTAAAATAAATAATTTCAGAAAAAATCAATGCAAACTGTAAGATGTTAATCCATTAGTTTTAAAATAAGTATATTATAATATCTAGAATAGTATTTTATTATTTTGTTGAAAGTAATGTGTGGCCGCTCTAGTTTAATAGAGTTTACAAAATTATGAAAACTTTGATGATTAAAAAACAAATATATTGGTGATTATTTGAAATGTGAATATATCGTAAAACCTTATATATATTATGGACAGATGGAATCTGTAATACTATTGAACTGCAAAGAATTAAACATGATTGGAAATTAATCGCTGGTATTAAATAAAGATTAAGGACTTATTACGCCATAAAAAGCCAAAATATCAATTACTATAACTGTTATGCTTATGGAATATACGGTTACGGACTAAGCGATCAATGGAATCTATCCGCAGTTACAAGAAAATTGTAAATGTATTCCAAAGTTTTTACGATATATACTACATTGTGTTAAATGAAAAAAAAACGCCGAACCAATAAATACAAATTTTTAAATTGTACGATCGCTGATTTACGAAGTAGTGTAAACAAATAAGGAGATAATTTATATATGTATTTTAATATAAATTAATTGCCTTTATATATATAAACAGAGATGCTGTTTATGTATATATTTCTTAGTTCTTATCTTTAAACGATAGATAAGAACAATACGCAGTACATAATGTGTGACATAAGTTTGCATAAAGTCCGAGATCAGAAAAAGAAGATAGTCCTTTGCAATCATTATTAGACTTCTTCTTTGCTTTTTGAAACGTGAGTTAATATCTAAAGTACTTTCACTCAATAGTGTCTGAAGTATAGTTTAAAGCCCAGCATATCTTCTTGACGGAATATATATTGTATTTGATTTGAGAGAGTGTGTTTCTGAATTAAGGTGTGTATCCACAAGATCGAAGATCTTCTTCTGCATAACACATATAATACAAGATAGTATAAAACTAAGGTCGTGTGCGAGTTAGGCTAAGTTGCGTTCTAAATGAGGGAAATTCTAAGTTGTGTCGATAATGTATTGATGTGTCGATACGTGTTGATAAATGGCAAAATGTGTGCAGTGCTAAAAATCCCAAAAAATCTCCCATTTGGTTTAGCATCAACTAAGCCTAACTCGCACACGTCCTAGGAACTAAAACCTTTGGACGTTAAACTTTAAAAAATACAGTGTTTTTACGAAACTGATCTAGTGATAATGATCTGAGCTAATAAATATGTTATAACAGCATTAAAATTAAAATTTTTTCTTTCACATTCTGACCAGCTTCAGCTTTCTAATATACAAACTTTTTAAAATTTTTTTTTTTTAATTTATATAATCCTTTTGCTCTAATATAAAAGTCAAAAAATTTCGAAAAGGTAGCAACTTTATATAGAAAAGTATTATATAAATAAAATATAAATAAAATATAAATAAAATATATAAAAAAACTACATAAATAAATTTTATTTTAAAAGTTTACAAAAATATACTTCAAATAATAAATAGCAAATCATTTTTATTGGTCTGGCAATGCTAGGAAAAATTTCAAACAAACTTCAATTCAAGTTATCTTTCAAATTTATTATTTTTATAATCAAAACATTTTACCAGAGAAGTTAGTTTCTCTAAATAAACTGAAATAAATTGAAATAAATTTTTCAGTTAAAAATTGAAAACTTCATTACAGTTTTTAATTTAAGCAATTAAACTAATTCCGCAAAATGGCTGACAAAAATAAAATGAACGCTGCTCAGCGCAAAGCCAAGGCAGAGGCAGATAAACAGGTGCTCGCCCACGCTAAAACTTTGGATGATCTTAAAATGTGTTGCAAAATCGCTGATAATGAGAGGAAATTCTATTTGGGAAAATTACTTCAAATAGATAAACTTTGTAAGGCTCATCCAAATGATCATCCAGTAATTCCTCACGTCATGCATTCAGCAACTAAGGGTTTGTCATATTCTAAAGATAAAGACGGTGGAACTGAACCAGGTTCATCTGATCAACATTAGAAGCACTTTCATATTTTAAAGGTAAATTATTAAGTAAATTATTAATATACCAAGATATGAAATTGTTAGATTAATGTCTTCATCATAGCTCCTGTTTTTTTTTGTGATGTATTCTCTTCGACCACTTTGATAAAATGATTAGAGGTAAGATGAAACATTATTTAAATATCTGAAATTGTATAGGTAACGTTTTAGGGGCTGCAATATGAAAACTATAAAAATGTCGGGAACGTTGAAAACATGTACTCATTTATTTAATTATTCTTGTTGCATTATAACCTGTTAAAATGTAATGGAATAAATAAAAATATTTAACTGAAGCTTTTAATTATTTAAAAAAAAATTAGGTTAATAGACGTATTATAATGATGGCATTGTCACTTTAACACAATGGTGTAGCTAGAATTGTGTCAGATGTTATACTAGATAATATTTTTTACCATATTATCTGTGGCGTGTATTATCGAATATAAAGGAGGATATATTCCCAAATTCCTAGATACACCTTTGTCTTAAGAAAAGTACACTATGATTAGATCACACGTTAGTGTTATTTGTATAAAAAATATTTTTTAGTATATTATCTGTAGAGTGTATTATCAAATATAAAAGAGGATATTATTCCCTATTCCCAGGATTATTCCCTAATTCCAGGATACTCCCTTGTCTTAAGAAAATTACACTATGAATAGATCATACGTTCGTGTTATTTGTATGCTGAAAAGGCCGAATACTTTATCACTGCAAAAGTGTACTATAAAAATTAAAGACCATTTTTAAACCATTTCATAGTGGAAAATATCATTTACGAATTCCTAAAACACGGTTTAATATGACGAAATAGATATGTAATAAGTTATTACAATAAGCTTACTTTGGAATGGACAAAGTTTATATGTTAAATGCCCATGAGATAAGGACAGATGAGGTATAATAATGAAAAAACAATATCATTACTAGGATTATTAATTCCAAACTGAGTTCAAGATCTCTATTAAACTCATCCAACACAAGCGAGTGTTAGGTAGTGTTTTCATATATCAGCAAAATTTTATGATTAACTGGCCCAAACTCATTTTTCTATTTCTATGATAGTGAAAATTGGTTCCATGTTACATGTAGTATATACGGCTGTTTTAGTGCTAATGATTGATCCCCATATGTGTGAGACATATCGCCAAGATACATTTTGTACTTTCTAGATTAGCGTATCTTTTGTTAACAATCTTTACACTAATTTAAAATTTATTTAAATAAATTTATTTTATTATTTTAATGTATAATATTTATTAAAATATAAAATAGTTTTATAGTGAAGAGGTTTCTTCAATAGGATAACGCAAAGACGATACTGTAAGGCACAAAACCCTGAAGTTTGGTACCAATACAAAAAAGAAACCTATGTGTGATAAATGTGATATCATTATGTAAAATAAATTGGTTAAAATCGAAAAATTTCGAAAGATTAATACAATACAAAAATGCTGGTTGTAAACGATATGTTCGTTGAAATTCGATTTGATTAAAGATGAATAGTAGCAGTTTTTTTTTAAATTGCTTTCAGTTATAGAAACATTTTCATTTGAATAATTTTTTTTTATAAACATATTCTACTGTAGTTTTACATAATTTTGTAAAATTTAGATATTCACACTATATATTTTGAAAAATAACATCATGTAAATATATTAAAATATTTTTTAGATCACTATATAGGAAAGTGCTTATGAACGCTGCGAAATATTCAATGACGATAACTTCAGAGCGTCATTCCAAAATATTATAAGAGTCAGTAACAATAGTCAAATGTACATCCTCCTATCTTATCGGACACACATTCCTTTCTACAACCAAGGGCGTCACGATCAATAGTTTAGAGTTTATTTCTGGCTTATTTGTTCCGCAAGCTTACACCAATCCCACTCCTTTCAATTGTTGTAGATTTCATTTTAAACATATTCGCCTGTGCTTTTCTGGCTTCGATAAACATATTCGCCTGTACTATTCTGACTTCGATAAATTTAGCATGCTAAATATTAAGTCCATTTACTCTCCTTTTTGTCCTTCATTACTGGAATTGGCTTTCAGTCATTGAACTTTTGTGTGCTGCGATTGTAATCTTCCAGATATCCACCTCCACCATATTACTAAGAGATGGTCTAGTTTTCAACCTACAGCAAAAAAAAAGTTCTGTATGCGGCTTAACAGCTCTAAGCTTAGTACAGAGTTATAGCTGGTTTTTCTCAAAGGAATTTAGCATGAAATGATAAATAAAGACAAACGTAGAATATTTAAGATGAGCTAAGTAGGCTACTCGCATACTATAAAAATTGAATTCAACAACTTGTAACGAATAAACCTGCTTATTTCTGACATTATCCTTAATAACAAATCCACAAGACATAATGTTCATCATTTACTGAATTGTTGTATAGCAAATATCAATTTGGACACAAATAATTTCTGGTTTTGTGCAAGGGTCCTTAACTCAAACTTAGGTTTGCAATTGGTTTGAAAAAGGGACTTCCCCTAAAATGGATTCATACTTAAAATAAAAATTCGACTTATAGAACGCACTTTCCCATATTCCTATTAGCAGGTAACAATATTTTTATTTGAGTTATAGAGAAATGCGAGTGATAGTTATGAAAGCAGAATTATATGTAATTTGCTCCCTAAAACCCTATTGCACTCTTTTTAGTTCGAGTTATAGAAAATTCGAGTTATAGAAGTTCGAGTTATGGAAATTTGACTGTATATATTTTTCGTTTGTCAGGATTTTTTAAAGAAACTCTCTTATAGATAGACATAACGTCTGGATAGCGGTTACATTAAATGTTTATTATCTAGATTATTGCCCAGAAAGAGAGCAACAGCTGCGTCAAGCCATAACTTGATGACAGGTAGCCAAATAAATAAGTCAATTGACCAGAGTAAGAAGAAAATGTTGCTCATCGGTTTTATCCCTGCCAAGCAGTGTTGCTCACTAGCAGGTGTCAACACAGTCATTATTGTATATCTCTATCTAAAATTTCTTTAAACAGCTAACGTACTTTAAAACTTTCCTGTGATATTAAAACGGATCCACTTATTAGTGAGTCCAAATTCCATGAGTTGAGACTGGCATCTATCACTCTATTTTTCAAGGACGTTAAAACGTCCTTTTTGTTCTTAAAAAAATATATTATGATTGGATTTTCGCTATAAATTCTTAATTTCTGTTAATAAAATATTTGATATTTTTATTTATTTTTAAAAATTAACAATATGAGAGATTGAAATATATGCAATTTTATAATCAATATCGACAATGAATTTATTTGCAAAATAACTAATTTAATAATAAATCGATGCAAATTCCGAGATGTAGATCCATTATTTAATCCCTTAGTTTTAACATAAGTATAAGATTATATCTTAAAAATCATTTAAAGAATGCAGGAACATTTTTATATATTTATTTTTTTTATTCGATTTGTTGAATGTAATGTCAGGCCGTTCTAGTTAACGCTATGGAAACTTTAACAATAAAACAATCAGCATAAATAAATTCGAATTACATGCAATGTAAATATATGGTAGAATTTCTTATATATTATGGGTAGACAGAGTCTTTAATACTACTGAAATGCAAAAAATTAAACATAATTGGAAATTAATCGCTAGTATTAAATGAAAATTAACGGCTTATTACGCCACAAAGAACCAATTCATCAACCACCACGACTGTTACAGTTATGAAATATACGGTTAAGAACTACACGACCAATGGACTCTATCGGTAGTTGTAAGGAAAAGCAAATTATATTTCAATTCTGTTAGAAATATAATATATTACTTAAAATAGAAAAAACTCCGAACACATGAATATAAATTTTTGAATTGTACGATCGCCGACCTACGAAGCAGCGAAGCAAATAAAAACGAAATAAATTATATATTTTAATATAAATTACTTACTTTTCCTGTATAATATCAGTTATTGATTATCTATATGTAAGCATTTTCACATTGTCCAATATTTATAAGCACAAATTTTTAAATTAAACTTATCAACTAACTAAATTAATTTGTACGATTACGTTTTTGCGTAGTTTTCAATAACGAACTGCCATTGATAACTACTTTATCGATAATTTAACTGCACTACCGTTTTTTTGTGTTTTCCTTTTGTTACACTAATTTAATACAACAGAGCTCGTAATTGTCGCTCGCTCTGTCTCTCTCTCTCTCTCTCTCTCTTTTTGCATACATTTTTGTTTTTCTCATGTTTTTATCAGTTTTTGTTGTGTTCTTCATATTCTGTGTCAAAATTGATGTCAGTTGCAATAAGCACGTGTGATAAAAGGCTTGTACAAATTCGTTGAGAACTTACTTGTTGAAATATATAAATAATTAATTATATCGTATAAGTTAGAGAAATACATTCATAAATATGGGAAAAAAAGTGCATAATGCGAAAGCGCGACAGAATCCAAATATAATTGTCGATAACACAGCAATAAAAAATGTAAGTAACTAATGTAATGTAAAGATTAGAATTACAAGAATTTTATTTTCCAAAATAGATACGTATTGAATTAAATGATGGAATAAGTGGTGCAGGATATGATGAAGCTAATGCTTTGGTTTTGCCATCACAAAAACGGCAAACCAAAATTAAAGCTGAGAAGATTCAACATGTAAAAATTTTGTCCAAAAAGCAAAGAAAACATTTGCAAACGATTGTTGATAAAAAAAAGAAAAAAGAAAGTGTGAGTAAAATAGAATTACAAATTTATAAAAATAATTTAATTAACTTCATAAATATTTACAGCGTGCTGAACTGCTGCAAGAGTTGTCCAAAGTACAAGTTCCAGCAGTGGAATTAGAGCAATATGCATCACTAAGTCAAGTGCAAACTCTTGGAAACAAGAAGCTACAAACGCTTGATGCTTTACTGCAAAAAAAGCGTGAAAAACAATTAGCAGAACAAAATTCTGTGCCTGGTGGTAAAATAAACTCCATTAAAGGTGCAGCAAAACGTAAATTAATGGTAGAGGAAGAAGCTGAAATAGAAGCTAAACGCAATAATCCTAATATTCTGAGTTTGAACGAAGAAAGTGAAAGTAGTGAATCCGAAAGTGATGTTGATATCAATCAGGAGTTGGAAAAAACAGTTTCTGTCGTGTCAACAGAGCCGACAAGTGATGAAAAGTTGACTAATATCGAGTTATGTGATAAAATGAACAAAAAACTTGGGCTTGATACAAGCGCTAAAAATTTGCCCTCCACAAGTACGCAAAAAGCGAGTGACACTGTAGAAAAACCTAGTGATGTTGTGACAAGACCTACCATATTTGTGCCTGTGCACCGCGATCCTGATATACAAGCAGCAAGACTTAAACTGCCAATACTTGCAGAGGAACAAATAGTAATGGAAACCATTAATGATAATTCTATTGTTATAGTCGCTGGTGAAACAGGATCTGGTAAAACTACACAAATACCACAATTCCTCTATGAATCTGGGTATGCTGAGAATGGTAAAATGATTGGTATCACTGAACCACGTCGTGTGGCTGCTATAGCTATGTCAAAACGTGTGGCACATGAAATGAACTTAACTGAACGTGAAGTATCATATCTTATTCGTTTTGAAGGAAATTGTAATCCAAATACGCGTATTAAATTCATGACTGATGGTGTACTTCTAAAAGAAATTGAAAGTGATTTTCTTCTACTCAAGTATTCCGTTATAATACTTGACGAGGCGCACGAACGTAGTTCCTACACTGATATCTTAGTTGGTTTATTATCTCGTATAGTGCCACTTCGTCACAAACGTAAAAATCCTTTGAAATTGATTATAATGTCTGCTACATTGCGTGTTGAGGATTTTACAAATAATACGCGTTTGTTTAGCAATCCTCCACCACTGCTTAAAGTGGAGGCACGCCAGTTTCCTGTAACCGTGCATTTTCAAAAAATCACACCACCCAACTATGTTGATGAGGCTTTTCGGAAAACTTGCAAAATACATTCCAAACTGCCCGAAGGTGGCATATTGATTTTTTTAACTGGTCAACAAGAAGTTAATCAATTGGTGAGTATTTACTGTAAAATTTTAAAGTTTTTTTTTTAAATTAAAATTCAATTCAGGTACGAAAACTGCGACACGCTTTTCCGTACGTTAAGAATGATGACAAACAGAATCTTGGAAAAATTCAGGATCAAAATTCAGTAACTGAAAATACAAAAGGCAACTCAGAAACAATAGAAGAGAAAGACAAAGAAACATCTAACAACGATAATGATGATGATATCGAATTTGATATGCAACGCGCCATACGTAATGTAAAAAAATCGAAGAAGAAATTTCTTTCACAAATAGCTTTACCTAAAATTAACTTGGATGATTATAAATTGCCTGGTGATGATACTGAAGCTGATATGCATGATATTACAAATGCGTCGGATGATGAAGCTGATACAGATGATGAGAATGAGGAAGAAAATGAACTTGATACACAAGAAAATATAGCCGCGACAAAACAACCACTTTGGGTGCTACCACTATATTCTTTATTATCTACAGAAAAACAAAGTCGCATTTTTCAACCTGCTCCTGAAGGTTGTCGTCTATGTATAGTTAGTACGAATGTTGCTGAAACTTCGCTCACGATACCAAATATTAAATATGTCGTAGATAGTGGTCGACAAAAGACACGTCTTTATGATAAGATCACCGGTGTAAGTGCTTTTGTTGTCACTTATACGTCAAAAGCATCAGCTGATCAACGTGCCGGTCGCGCAGGTCGTGTTAGTGCTGGTCATTGTTATCGTCTCTATTCTAGTGCTGTTTATAATGATGAATTTGAAGATTTCAGTATGCCTGATATACAAAAGAAACCTGTTGATGATCTTATGCTACAAATGCGTTGTATGGGCATTGATCGTGTTATTAATTTTCCATTTCCTTCACCACCTGACAAGGAGCAATTAGAGGCTGCTGAACAGAGGTTGATTGTTTTGGGTGCTTTAGAAAAAGTTCCCAATGCTGATATTAACAAAAACTTGCCGCCTGCAGTTACTAAGCTTGGACATGTCATATCACGTTTTCCGGTTGCACCACGATTTGGTAAAATGTTGGCGTTATCGCATCAGCAAAATTTATTGCCCTACACTGTTTGCTTAGTGGCTGCATTGTCTGTTCAAGAAGTGCTTACGGAGATTAATTATGATCGTGAGAAGGTCGATGATGACAATCTGATGACAAATAAGTGGCAAAAGAAGAGGCAAACCTGGGCAGGAACTGGTAAGTTACATTCTATCACTTTAGACTGTTCGATTGCTACCATTCTCGATCAGTTTTTGAATATACGAATTCAGTCATTTATATCGACTATCTCAAGTGTTCAAAAACGTTCGAGCTGCTCTAAGAGGTGGCAGCTATTCGAACAGTAAATATAATTTCTGTTTCATTTTTTTTTTGTTTTTGGTTTGTGTTATACAAATATGTATGCAGGTATGCATAATAGCAAATGGTTGAATACAATAAAGTGTTCGAATATTTGCTAGTGGCTCGCTGAGCCAAATGCTTAAAATCTAACATATTCAGACATCGAAATACTCGACGCTCGAGCCATCTACACAGCTGCAATATTCTTTTCGAGAACACAGTTGCACAGCAACAAGATTTCAATAGGTACCTGCCTAATATTTCTTGGGAAAAAAAAAACTTTCTACTTGCTTCTCACGCATAAATGTGTCAATTATCAATGTGTACCCTAACTACAGTTCTACTCCCATGAAGTCGTTTATTTGCATTCATGTCCCAATGTACACACTGACTTGAGTTCAATCGATATTTGGACCCGCTAATGGTTTAAATACCACCCATCTCCAATCCATTCTTACTCTTAAACAATCTACTCCGATCTCACACAATCATCACGTATCCACATCCTAACATATGTTGGCGTTTTTGTAGTTCCGTTGTTGTTGTAATCCGCTGGAACCTACGTGTGAAATCATTTAGGGAGGTGTCGAGCGGTACTTGGTCAACGGCTGGCGACGAGTGGCTCCGGGACGTAGACCCGTCCGTTCTTTAGGAATCTTGTATGCTATCTACTCGATAGATCCTTGTGGGACAACAACAACAACGTTTGTTTGGACTGTGGAATCTAATTCATCTTGTTTTTGTCCTTAAAATGAATTTACTTGCTGGGTCTCGTGTATATTGATAAGTGGGAACACCGGGAAACGTTTGGAATTTAGTTCGGTTTGAAGCTTAGTCAACCAGTCTTTTTCAAAGACTAATCTTATAAATCCATTAAAAAAAAACACTGACATTTTAAATTAATTTAGTGGTAAAATGTGTACTGAGTTGTACTTTCTGAGTACAACAGAGCTATGGGTTCGATTCTATCTTTTCAATAAAACTGAAATATCAATTTTTGTTTGTTTCTTGACTCAAAACGATTTTACTGCCATTTGTATACACTGAGATTTGGGTATGCATTTTGTGAATTATCAGGTTTTAATTGAAAGCATATATAAAGTATCTTTTATAGGCGCAAAAAAGTCAATCGTACTTATATGTATTTTATTTTAGGAAATTTTCAATTACTCGGCGATCCAATGGTATTGCTCCGCGCAGTCGGTGCTGCTGAATATGCTGGTTCACAGGGAAAATTAACACAGTTTTGCTTGGAAAATGGCCTGCGTCACAAAGCTATTACAGAAGTACGAAAATTGCGTGTACAACTAACAAATGAAATAAACCTCAGTATGACGGATGTTAATCTAAGCGTTGATCCAAGTATGGCACCACCAACCGATGCACAAGCACGTTTTATGCGACAAATCTTACTGGCGGGTATGGGTGACCGAGTGGCTCGTAAAATAACACTATCAGACATAAGTGATAAAGAAGAAAAAAGACGTTTAAAATATGCATATAATTGCATGGATATGGTAGAGCCCGTTTTTATACACTCCTCATCTGTGTTAAAACAAAAACTACCCGAATGGGTGGTGTATCAGGAAGCATACGAGACGCGTAATGGTGATGTGACCAAAATGTATATACGTGGCATAACAGTTATTGAACCTGAATGGCTTTTATTATATGTGCCTTTATTGTGTAATATACGCAATATAAAAGAAGATCCTTTACCAAAATATAATGAGAAAGACGGTAAAGTTTATTGTTATGCTGATGCTTCATTCGGTAAAGCGGGTTGGGAGTTGCCTTTAACAGAAATAGAAATGCCTTTAAGTGAAAAATCTTGCAGGTAAAAATAAGATTATAGTTTATTATTCATATAAAATAACAGTTTATTATTTTTTTAATTGCAGTTACTTTGGTATGTTTTTGTTGGATGGTAAAGTATGTGAGAAACTCGCAGATTTCAAATCTAAATTGAAATCTACTCCATCTTCCCTTGTGAAAAGTTGGTCGAATCTAAACGAAAACATTTTACGTTTTAAACGTGCACTGATAGGGAAAGAAATTAATACACAACAAAAACTATTCAATGTTTGGAGCGAAAACAAAACTTGTAAATATTTTTTATTTATTTTTTCAAATTTTCCATTTTGTGTTATGGCAAATTTTTCAAAAAATATTTATTTTTAAACTTTCAGATTTGCTAGAGGAATATCACAGTTTGCTATATGATGTCACCTTTGCAGAATTATCAGTTATTTGGCCGCCAACAAAATAACTTTTATTATAAATAAATGTATATATTGATTTTAGATTATTAAGATTTTTGTATAATTAAGTAAAGAATAGCTTAGGAACAGTGGTTCCTAATCTTTTTTTGATTAGACACCGCTATGACGTTTTGTTTTTAGTAGGGACTTTAAAAATAATAAACTGTATGATTATTTTAATATGTTTCAGTCATCTTTTGTACATTATATAGGCTATGAAATAGGTATATAATTACTTGGAAATTTTTTTTCCAATATTTTATTTCTTATTTTTTAATAACTGAGGTCTCAGTAAACAAACTACAAGCTATGTATCCATACCTATTAAATTTAATTCACGCACCAATTTTAACTATCTCGCGGACAACCGCTTGGGAACCACTGGAATAAAATATTAAATAACAGGGTACTAGCTACGTTGGAGCACCAGAGTACTACCACCTTGGCAGATATTTTGTGCTGCAAACCGATACATACAAAACGAAGAACACTGCTTTGGGAATTTTTTTTTTGTTTTTTTATTAACGATTCTTAAAATAAAGACAAAAATCGGTTTAATATTGCACCTAGTACAAATAACAAATAAGAGGTACTAATGCTTTGGGAATAGCAGCTTCCGGGTTATTATTTTCTCGCTGGCATAGATAAAAGCCAGATAAGCACAATATGACTAAAGATTTAATCTGCTTGCATTCTGTTTCCTTAGGTAGAGTCATCTTGTCAGATCATGATCATCAGTCAGATAGTTTCGTTTCCTTCAGTTATAACCCACTTTTATAATAGTGCACAACTAAACCAACTTATTCTACAATAAGACTACCGTTTATAGAATCAAAGGTTGATTCGCCTCCTTCAAAATAGTCCACAGACTTATACCGATCGATTTCTATGTGCCAGTAAAGCACTAGTCTATGTTCGTTTGTCAGCTGCTGCAGCATATCATAGCAATCTGCTAGTCAGCCAGAAATGTAGCAAAATTTTCGAAAAAAAATTTATTAAAATGGCCAAGCCAATGACTAAAGCTCTACAGTCGTTATCGAGTGTTATTTGTTAATAGTTAATATCATCAAATTTTAAGTTTAGTTTTATTAAAGGTCCAATTGGTTATAGACCCATATTGTTTTGTAAAGTAACACAATCAGATAAAAGAGCTGAATGAATCTGTAGGATTATCATTATGACCTATGATCAAAGACTAAATATTTGATAAATGATCATACTACTTATGTTTGAACTGGAGATGAGATTGTGTATTTAGAATTATGAATACATAATTAATTATGTATATCAAAACATGAAAAACTGAAGAGGTATTTCATAGGAGACTAAAAAATACTGCAAGATTGTAATCTGTTAAAGATTCCTTTAAGTCTTTCTGATATAATTAAAATCTATTCAAAAACTATTCTAAAGAAAAAAACCTGCATTCGCCTGTTGAAAGAAACAAATAGAAATTAGATTAAATATTAAACATCCACTTGACTACAATTTTGACAGACTCTTCTTTAATTTAAAGAGGTGGATAAATAAAATATATATATTTCAGCGAATAACTGAGAAAAGTAGGAAAAAAATACATGAACGGATTGTATTTGGTAAAGTTCTTGTAAAAAATATTTCTAAATTATTATTAAAAAATTCTAATTTTCATTTTTAAAATTTGCTTTATTCAACTTTTTAATAAAATAACTATTTTGTAATATTTATATTTTTTTTCTTCTAATTTCTCGTTTTAAGGAAATTGGATAATTCAGTAGTATGTTTATCTATGCAATTTTTATATATCTTATTAAAAAACCATATTTACATAAAGAGTTATATAACTTTTTCTACATTTATAGTCAAATCTGTTTTGTTTCATTTCACTTTACATATGCATGTATAAATTTACAATTAATGTATTTTAATTTGTTTAATATTAAGCATTTGTTTTCTAAAATAGCAACAATTAAATGTGTTCGAGGATAATATATACTTTAATTAGGCAAGTATTAAGGATTTTTTTTAAGATTTGATAGATTCTGTATTTGGAGAAAAACATTGCATTTAAGCATTAATTTAAAAAAATATTTTAATCATATATTAATTAATAAATTTGTTTTTAAAATAAACACTTGCAAATAATTTTTAATTTAACACATATGCATATACAAATATATATATATATATATTTATATATATATATGCTAAATATTGACAAAGCTAGAATAATGTTATTATTAATGTTCGGCTTTAAGTTCTTTCGTCTTGGCTTCTATATAGTAGTCATATATACATTAAATTACTTGTTAAATAAGTACTTCTAAGGGTACTGCCAAATATCCGTAATCTATTGATTCACTTGTCTTTACATAATTTTTTTTGAACTGCAAGTTTCACAAATTACAATTATCATTATTGTTAACGAATAAATAACAAAAATTGACAATTTATTAACGTAAATTAAGTTCATGTTAGTTTTGTGTGTTCACACTGAGTCTACCAATTAAATTTGGCAGAGTTCAATTCTTGCTGTGTAGTCAAAACAAATTATATACGGACAATTAAACCAATAGATGTTTTAAAAGACAACTAAAGATGGATATTTGACTGTATCGGAAATAACTGAATCCCAAAAATAAATGGAATGTATGAATTCAAAAGATTTTCCCATTTTCTATTCGAAATAATATTTTAGTTATTACACAAACATATTAATTATTTTTATAAAACATATAAATAATTTTTATAATTAAAACATAAAATAATAAAGTAAAGAAACATTATATTTTGTCTGTAATATATTTAAAAATATAACTCAAAAACTTTGTTAATTTTTATTTTTTTGCTTGAAGTTTTTTTCAAACATCCAGCTACTGAAACAGATACAGATGGCAGCCTGTATCTAGATAAATAATGAAAATATAGCTTTATTATAAAGATTCATTTTCTAACTATTTACGTTAGAAAACATTCTGTATTGGATATATGTGTTTTGTGTCATATCAGTATTGTACTGTACATATGTGTTATATAAATAACCATATGTGTTATATATATCACCATATGTAATACATGTATAAATCTGTATAATCTCTTCAGTATATTATTATAAATGTATGAATCACTATATAACATTAATAATAAAATGTTCTCCAAAACATTTTGCAGTATAAGAAAGTGTTAAATGGTCACCGAAACCTACAAGAAATTTGTAACTATTATAAAAGTTTTCATTAAAAAAATTCTTAAAACACAAATTTATAAAAAATAAATATTCACATAAATAGCAAAATAATTAATACATAAAATAAATATATAATTTATAAAATAAAATTATGAAATTGATAAATATATAAAATAAATAAATTTAAGAATTAACAAATGAAAAACTAAATAGAATAAAACTAAAAACATTTATTTAAAAAATAAAAATAAATATATATAAATTATAATTAATTAATTAATAATTTGTATTCTTAAAAAAATATATATATATTAAAATATATAATAATTATTTAACGGGTTAATTGGTCATATAATTAAAACTATAATTTATTATTTATATTAAAAATAATTATATTTCATCAAACTGATACTCCAATATTTTGTCATCTTCAGGGAAATATAATAAAAATTTTTTGGTCGAAAAAAAAAACAAATAAAATATGAAAAAAAATATATATATATAAAAAAATATGTATATAATAAAATATATAATTAAAATATATATATATAAAAATATATATATATATAAAATATATAAAAAAACAAACTATGAAATTAACGATGGAATAATTTAGCAATATTTAATTAATATAAATTCTGAAAAAAAACAAATATATAAAATAAGTTAAAATAAAAAATTGAAATAATTAAATATATAACTAAAAACTTGGTGGACCATTATAGACGTGAGTCGTCTTGGTCGCGTAAACGTACGACATATATAATAAAATAATAAATAATTTATAAAATAATAAATAACTTATAAAATTATTAAATCTTAAAATTAATAATATAATCATCAAATTATGAATTAATAAATTATAAAGTAAATATTATACATATTTACTTTAATAGTATTTATATTATTTATTAATATTTATTAAATTGATAACTAAATATACAAAATAATTATATATTAAAAAATATATTTGGTAGGTATATACTTATATGGTAATTAAAAAATAAATAAGTCTACCTCAGATATAATTAAAATTTTTATATTCTATGACAAGAAATCTATTTCGAATAGAAAATGGAATAATATTTAGATAATTTCATAAGCAAAATAAAATACTTTATAAAAGTGAAATTTATTGGCTGGTATCTGATATTGCCAAATATCAAACATCAGAATGCAATATTAGCTTTTCGAAATAAACATTGGTTTAATTTGCCATACATACTTTTTAAACGGTGTGTATTAGGTATCGAACCCTGCCAAATTTAAATGGATGACTCTTGAGTTAACATACAAAGCTTAGTGTCAGATTAATTTTGCTGTTCAAATTTGGAATTTCGTTAGTTTGATATATAGCATTTGCAAGATTAAAAAATAACAAAGAAAAACATTTTATATCAAAAAAAAAAAAAAATATATATATAAAAAAAATATATATAAAAAAAAAATATATATAAAAAAAAATATATATAAAAAAATTATATATATAAAAAAGCTAAGATGTGTAGAAATATAAATATGCAAGAGCAAATATGTAAAATATTAAATATAAAAATTATTTTATTGTTAAAACATACATAAATTAAAAAAAGTATAAAAGTAACAAAAAATAAAAGCAGTATAATAAATTATATACGGACTATAAACTGATTAAATAAAAACTCGAATATTTCCTAAGATACTGGTGATGAGGACTTGGCAATACTCGAAACAGCGTTGTATGGTCAGTCAAATTTCAATAAATTAATTTAAAAAATATTTGTTGTTGTTTCTTCATTACTGTTTAAACTCTTCTAACTTATAAATAGTTTCTTTACGTCATAAGACGTGTCACTTTTGACGCTTTTAACGAATAAAAGTAATTTTATTTTGAATATGTTTTTAGATACATTTAGATACATATTTTAGATATAGAAGAACCTAGAAATACTCAAAATAAGATACTCGTCTGTCGTTCAAAGTTTTAAAATAAAAATCGAACAAAATAAAAAAGTGCCCGCTGTCAGCATTTAAAAGAATTTAAAGCCAATATAAAAAATGAATCTTAAAAAAATATTTGTAAAAAACATATATATATATATATATATATATAAATATATATATAAATATTCAATATTTCAAAATGTTAAAAAAAAAATTGCAGTATAGAATAAATTAATAACTATTAGTAATAACTTGAAAGTTTAAAACCGAACATTTAACATTTGAAACTTTTTACAGAATAATATTATATATGTATAAATTTTAAATAAATTTAAGGATGCCTAACATAAAATAGTTTATTATATTGTTAATAACATCTTAAGATGTATTTTAGTTATTTTAGATATATACACAATAGTGTTTTAAATTTAATTTTTTTTTAAATTAATTTTTGTTATATTAAACAATATGATATGCTTTTTAGATAAGAAGATAGCTAATTTTTTTTATTTTTAAGTTTTTAATATATATGTATATGTATATAGAAGCAATAAAAAAACAATGTCAAGGTATATTTATAAATATTTTTAATAGTCAACTAACAAAATTTACTATTATTATATGTTATAATAATATTATGTATATATTTTGTGGAATTTCTTTGGATTTGGGTATATATCTTATATATAGGATTAATTTTATTAAATTTATAAACATTTTTAATTTAATATGTATTGTTTTTTTTGTGGGAATTTTAAAATTTTTTAATAATTAACACAAAACAAAACTGTTTGCCATTAATTTTCATATATATAAATATATATACACATTTTATATTTATTTAGGGTAATTGCAGCAATAGTTTTTAAATTTTAACTTAATATCTTCTTTGATAAAAATTATTTTATTTTATATTTATTAAATAATGTTGTTAATATATTTAATTATCACTTTTTTGTTATTCGTTTCAAAATTTATTTTGTTTACATATATATATTCATATATTTATATATATATTTATGTTTTATTATTTTTAAAAAGATATATAGATAAATGAAGGGATACATATTATATAAATAGTTTTTGGACTATTCTTGTTTTCTTTTATATGTTTATTATTTTTACATAACAACTTTATTGAATTATTTTAATAAATATTTTATATATAAACAATATTATAAATATTTTTTGTTTGTATGTTTTTTCTAACATTTTAAATAATTAAATTTCTTAAATATATACATTATTTATATTTTGTTTAACATATATATTTCTAAAAAAAATAAAATAACAGTTTTTTAAACTTAAACACATTTGACCCAAATTTTTTTTAGATATATTTTAACTTAAAACTAAATGTCAATTAATAAAATAATTTTTGAAATTATAAATTTATGATAAATTAATTTAAAGTTTCTTTTTAAATTTAAAATTATTGAAAAAAGTTTTTGAATTGTTAATAAAACTGATTTCTTAATTCTAGTTTATGTGAATGTATTTATTTGAAAATAAAGATGAAGTATAATGTATATAAATATATATACATAAATATATATATTTTTAATACAAGTTTTTAGTAATAGAAAAATCAGTCTAACAATTTAAGGCAACGTGAGAGCATTATTTTTTTTATTATTTCTTTCTTTATATTTGCTATATATTTTTTTTTTGTGTAGATAATTTTTTTTTAATTTATAAAATTAGATTTGTAATTAATTATATATACATAAATTGAAGTATAAATTTAAAGTCACTACATAATTGTTTTATAAAAGCATTATTTAAATATTTTATGTATTAAACAAAACATATTCGCAGATATTTTTTCATTTCAAAATTAAAATTTAAAGTTTAATTAAAATGTACTTATTGTTGACCTAGCCATTTTGTTTTTAATTAGTAAATAAATATTTAATGCTGGTCCATATTGATATCAGTAACATATATTAAATGTTAAAATTTTTATTGCAATAAAAAGTAATGAATGTAAAACAAAACATTATATATTATATCTAAAAACAATAAAATATTTTTAAGTAATTATAATTAATTTGTTACAATAATTTTAATAGACATGAATCCTTCAGTATGACATTTTTTTATAAAAAAAAAAAGAATAACAAAAAATAAAAAAAAAACAAAATATAATAATAAGAGAAAATAAAATAAAAAAAAATAAAACAAAAATAAGAAAAAAAACAATAAAACAAAAATAAGAGAAAATGCAATAAAAAAATAAAACAAAAATAAGAGAAAATACAATAAAAAAAATAGAACAACAAAAAAAAAATAAAACAAAAACAAAAATTAGAAAATATAAAATAATTAAACAAAAATAAGAGAAAAAAATAAAAAATGTAAGTGAAATAAATGCAAAAAAAAAAATTAAAAAATATGAAAAATTAAAAAATATGAAAAATCAAAATATATAAAAAATAAAAAAATAAGATTAAAAATATGAATAAAGAATAATTACATTTAAAAAATAAAACAAATAGTACATCTAAGAGTATAAATTAATGTGGAAAATATAAATTTAATACAATAAGGAAAATCTAATTTGTTTATTTAGGCCTTCAATAACATTTTATTTTACAACATACACATAAAAATAAAAGGAATTCAATTAATTTTTAATAACATAAATTATAAAAATAATAATATTTAACATATAAGTACAAATATATATATAATAATTACAGAAAATAATTTCAATAATGTATTTATTCTGGTTTTTTGTTATTGTTAATAAAATTAAATGGAAGAATGAAGGCTCCATGAGCCTCTAACTTAATTTCATGTTAACTTTAGTTACATATATTATTAAAAAATAATGCTTTTTAATTGAAATTCAAATGTTATTAGCATTATTAAATTTTGTTTTCAGGTGAATTTCTTTATACTTCAACTACTTAATATAAATCTTTATTATATTTTTAATGTATCTATTGAAAGCTTTGAGAATCTATATAGGAGTTTTGGAAAGTTCATAGAATTTGATTACTTAGTTCTAATTTCTTTTTTTTTTTAATTTAATTAAAATTTTTAACTTAAATTACTTGAACATTTAAATTATGTGCATATCAAATATATAAATTATATATGTATTTTTATTGGGAACATAAAGGTTTAGGGAATAATAATGGAATTTCGTTTTTTCTTTTTTCTACATATTAAAATAAATATTAGTTTTTTATAATATATACAATGTATATTTTGGCTTAACTACCTATTTTTAAATATAATACATATATTTAAATAAAAAAGCATTTGCAATAAGCCATAAACATATGTATGTATATATACATATACATATATGCAAATATACAATAAATTTTAAAGTAAATAACACTAATAGTTACGTATATAACTAAAAACAATATTACTTTTAATAACTACAAATTTACATTTTATACATCTTACGTTTCAAATTTAGTGAATAATATTTTAACAACCTTATTTAATTACTTTCATTAAGAAACTCTTCATAGATGCTTAGAAATGCTTTTTTCTAAATTTAAATAAACAAATAAATAATATATAAAAATTTTCTACTATATAAGTTTATAAATTCATTAAATATTTTTTGTTAAACTTCACTTGTCTCATTATCAATTTCATCAATCGTTATTACTTCAACACTTGCTGCTTCACTACTTTCAGCCATTTTTATGCAGTCCATATTCTCTACATTTTCCACATTATCAGTAGACTCTTTTTTCATACAGACATCATCTTCATCAGCATGTTCTGTAGTTTTGGGCGTTTGGACATTTAATGCTTCTGTTTCAATTTGAACATCTTCTGGTGCGGTGTCTATAGTTACAGCTGTAGTGTATAAATTTTCAAAATCATTTGTATCAATTTTAGTTTCAGTGTTTTCTGGTTCTATTTCTAGTTCTAATTCTGGTTCTAGTTCCAGTTCTGGTTCTGGTTCTATGTGAGTTGTGGTGTTTTCAATATTTGGAACATTGCTATCATAATCGAAGTCTTCGAACTCATTATTACATGAATCGCATGGTTCATTTGCTTGTTCAGCCATCATATTCAACATATTTAAAACTAGCTCACGTTTTTGCATATCAATATTAAACATACCCACATCATCTTCAGAACTGCTACTGCTAACAGCATTGATTTTTGGCCTAGCACCTGTGTTGCTTGACTTAAATCTGCTTGTGGTTGCCTCTAATATGTGACTATCGTCGAAGCCTTCATTACTTGCAGTACCTAATTGTGATGTTGGTGATTCTAGACTGCTACCTAATATAGGCGTTAATCCTTCAATTTGTTTTTGTAACTCGTCCATTTGTTGTAGAGCCGAACCGCGTCTTGAATTTGTAGTACCAACTATCGTCATTTCTTCAGTGCTGCTATCAACTATTTGGTTATATTCTCGTAATCCATATTCTCCTACGGGAACAAAATGTTCACCTATTTCTATCAGGTAAACCACACGACTTAAATTTGAACGAAAGCGTTGATTTGTATGATTTGGTACCCAGTAATGAACAACATGTCCAACCATACCGACCCGCGGTTTCCAATCTTCCCATGATAAGCGGCCACCACTAGCAGTAGGCCAGACCACATCATAACGTCGTAGGTCATATATCTGAAATTTGTATGAATTATAATTCTCAATTTGTAATATGTAAGCTCATTATTCTTAAAATTTACATTATCAATTCATCGTAAAAGCTAATTAATTTACTATTGTTTTTGCAGTTCCAATTTACAGTAAAACAAGTTTATCTATACTTGTAAGGAGTGTATACTTGTATATAGTTTATATATATAATTATATATAAACAAAGCTAGCACAGTGAAAAATGTATAGAATAGAATAGAATGGGGAAAATGAGAATATATACGTGACAACAAATTTCATATAAAACTAATTATTTACTTGTACAGATTATATACAGTAATGGTGTTAAGTTCGCTTTTAAAATGAATTGAGAATATTCTTGATATTATGATAGTTGTCTTATAAATTAAATAAAATATAAAAAATAATATAAAAAAAAACATCAGAAAGCAAAATAAAAAGAAGTAAAAACATTAAAAAAATTTAATATAAAATGAAATAAAGAAAAATAATAATAAAGAGAAAAAATGATAATAAAAAAAACAATAAAAATAGTAATGAAAAAAATAATAAAGTTAATAATAAAAAATAAAAATAATAATAAGAATTATAAAAAATAAAAATAATAAAAAAAATTACAAAAAAATAATAATCAAATTAATTATAAATAATAGAAAAAATAATAAAAAATAAAATTAACAATGAAAAATTAATATAATAAAATTATAAAAAATAAGAAAAATTATAACAAACCAAAAATAATAATACGAAAATTATAAAAAAAAATAATAATAAAAAAATTATAAAAAATATAAATAATAAAAAAATTATAAAAAATATAAATAATAAAAAAATTATAAAAAATATAAATAATAAAAAATTTATAAAAAAAGAAATAATACTGAGAAAAAATATGAAAACTGAAAATAATGATAAAAATTATTAAACATAAAAATATGAAATATAAGTATAGACTCACCTCTGTTTCATCAACAATAATAACTTTTTTATACAGCTCAATACGTGGTTTCCGCGTTGTCATTGTAATATCAGAATTTGATTTTGTTGCATCCACAGACATACCGGCAGTTAAACAAATAGGTCCCTTTGTTTTTCGTGGATAGTCGCCAGGTGTTGTTATTATATTGCCAACACCAATACATCCAGACGAGCATGAAATTTTTGTATATCGCGGACTATTGCTGGTTTGCGTATCGCTAGGATGAGGCTTTATTTGTTTGGATGAGGAATCATATTCTTGTTCATTATTCTGCATAGAGTCTGCATTTGTACCACTGATGTCTTTTAATGTGCTAGCGCCACCATGACCACCTACCGCCCCCAAACTTGTACTGGCAATCGGTAAAGTTGCACGTCTTTCACGATCACTGCGAGAGCTTGTAGATTGTGTTTGACTTTTACGTAAACCAGCCAAAAGTGTAGTTGAAGTAGGTTTCACTGGTATAACAGCTAGGCCACTACGCATCGATACTAAACCATCACTACCATATTGTGCACTAAGACTTCCACCTAAATTAGCTAAATTTCCAGAACGCAAACCAAGAAAACTTCCTGTCAGAGTGTTGTAAAATGGCGCAGATATATAAACTTGTGCAATTTCACCTGATTCACCGCCTGCATTACAAACGGGTCCAACTGCAATCACACCAAGATGAGTTGTTTCCATGGTGGACCCAGAACTGCAGCCTTGACGACAACGTTCACGTATGCGTCGCCACCAATCAAGCACATTTACTTTGATCGATTCCAGTGTTATGGCGCCACCTATTACTTCACAGAGTTGTTCATTGGTGTCGGCATATGAAGTAGTTAAAGGTGATACATAAATGGGATAACCTACAATAAAAACAAAAACACAAAAATAAGTCCTCATAGTTCAATTGTTTTACATTTGTAGTTACCTATTGGTTGATCACAGCAGGAGTTTATTATATTTCGTAATGCTTGCTTGGCATTTTGTATACTACCACGTTCGGGGTTTCGATTACGTAAATATATCAATTCTTGCTGCTGTCCTGCCCATAAGCCACGTACACACTCCCTATTTAGTTTAATAACGCGAAAACTAAGAAACCGTTTCGTTAGACGAATAATGCGATACTCATCGGAACCATCTTCCATAACATGTCTAAGTGCGAGTAAATTGGGTGCACCCCGTAATACAGCACTACGCCATACAGGGTCTGCTTCATGTGAAATAACCAAATCTTTAGAACAAGTATCAATTGCTTCATAGAGTACATTTGGATCAAGAAACTCATCGGGATTCGTTATATGATCTTGCTGCAATTTCAATGCCATTTTAACTGCTGGTGCTACAACAGAATGCAATAATTCCATATCGGCAAAAACCCATTCGTCACGTGGCGAAGTAATACGAAAGTCGCCTTTAAAGAGTGCATGTAGACCGTGTAGAAAAAACTCAACACCAGTCAGTGAACTATGTGAAGCAGTAGCCAAAGAGCGTCTACCTAATAAACTTAATGCTAAACATAATGAGACTATTGGAGAGTCCTTTGCTATACTCGGCACTTTCAATTTTATAATTGGTATGCCGTTATTGTCAGCTGGTGTACTATTCTCAGTTTTATTATCGACTATGGGTGAGTGGGCGTTAAATGGTGTTTTAAAATTTGACGCCTTTTGATTTCGTAAATGGCTACTTTGCAGCTTTGTTGCAGAATTCAATGCCGCAGTGCTGCTATTAAGTGGACAGTTTTCTAACGGTACTTGCGAAACATTCGTACCAGTTAGACCAGGTGCACTCTCTGATGTTTGCCGTGATATTATTGCAAATGACTGTGAATTACCAATGTGCTCGGTTGAGTGATTATTTACAGTACCACTATCGCTCATTGTAGCACTTTTTTGTGGACGCGCACGAAGATGCTGGGATTGTGAAACTGCCGTTGCTGCTGTGCTTAAATTGGGTGTACTTTTCGAATCGTTGTGCGTTTGTGCTGGTATTGTTGTCTCATTAACTGTGTTTTGATTTTCTTTTCGTTTATCACAGCAAAAATTTATCCAACTCAGGTAGACATAACAAAAACTTAGCCGGGTTATACCAACAGCACGAAAATCAAAGTCTTCATCTAAATTATAATTAAATATAGGATCTAAATCAACAAATTGTCTGCTGAGCGTGTGTTGCAAAGCGTCTTGAATTGGTCCTGATGATAGCCATTGATCAAGTTTGGGATTTTTCACAACATAATATATGATACTCTATAAGAAAAGAAACACACATGTGTTTAATATGTTTTAAAATTTATATTATTAAGTCAATTAAAAAACCTTGATGTAATATGTAATCAGAACTTTGCGGTACTCAAATACTTGAAGCGTTGCGCTTGCTAGATTATCTGAGATTGAATAACCCTCCAGTACATATTGTGCTGCAACAACTTGCCAAGCTAGCCAACGTGTTGAGAACATTGCATTTGCGCTCAACATACGTGGTATATGCCCAGGATCGCAGCAGCAGCAGCCATCATTATCTTCTACGTCTTCTGAAATTGCTTCTACCTCACGCTGTTGACAATACGTGCCACGAAATTCTAAACCACGCATTTGAAAAGTACACAGTCCATTACCGAGTTCGATAATGTGCACTAAGCAGTTAAGATAATCCGAAGCAAGAACTGTAAGTGAGTGCGATGTGTAGAAACAAATAAAAAACGAATACAAAAATTTGAAACAGATGAAGAAAGAAAAACAATCTCACCAAAACAATCGCCTTGGTTGACATTTCCCCATCGACCCATCAATAAGTCCCCACAAAGTGAATGTTGCAAGGACCGGGTCAGGTGTTCATAGAAAATGCTATTCAAATTATTGTCGTCTGCACCCAAATCTCGTTCCAATTGTGAACTTAAACGCGTATTAGAGTGATCTATGCGTCGTGTATTATAGTCGCGCTCCCAGAATTTTATTGGTCGTACATACGATGTTAGAAATATTGCACTACCCAAGAAAGGATTTAGTGGTGTGGATAGTATAGCCGATATGCCAGCTTGCAAAAACAGCATTGCCGAATGTGGCACACTAAAAGGTTGAGCAAAAGCATGAAATGCTGAGCCCCACGTTATTTGCCAAGGTGCAATGTAGGTAACGATGAATTGTAGCTAAAATTAAGCACAGTTGCGAGTAAGTAAAATCGTAATATCGTTAATTGTATAGAATAACTTACCTTTAAAAGAAAATCACAGCATTTTCTATACGCCAAAGAGACGAAAAAATAATCTATTAGAAACGATTCACTGGCCATAGCAAAATCTACACGAAATAACAATACCGTGAATAAAACGATCAGATATTGGTTAATTGAATCCGAGTAAGCATTTCGCACAACTGCAAGAAAATACAAATAAAAAAAGTTATTTACAAAATTATACTCGTATAGAGCGATAGAGTAACTTACATTTAAGAGCACAAACTGCAACGATTAAGGTGCCCCAACCCACACCAAATTTGTTAGTTATAATTTGCGCATCTGCTGTGAGCGCAGATAACACAACCAATGGAAATAATACATTTCGCTCCACCATACTTAAATATATGTAAAACTTTTCAAACCACATTATTTTAGGTGCATTTGATACTTCAAATTGTCCAAATTCCTTTTGTTTAAGCAAAGGACGCGCAAAACAGAGCCATGGCATATGTTTCCGCATTTGTGGTATTATGTAATGGAGTAGAAATCCCAAGGCGCCAGTAAAGGCATACAGTACAATATTAAGATCTGGTTGCAAAACAGTAAATACTGTACTGGAGTGCAGACCCAAGACAGCAACACACTGCAAAGTCATGACCACTAAATCATTTTTCAGTCGAGTATTTACGGTATTTTGTAATTTTTTCGGAAGTGGATCTGGAGATTCTTCTGCGCCATTTTCTGTTGTACCATTGGCACACATACCGTTTGTTAGTGTTGATATATCACCTGGATTTGTCGTAGAGGAACTTGACATTTTATCATCTAGATCTTGATCTTTTTCAGCTTCATCTTCTGTTTCAGCATTTGCATTCGATTCATGTTCCGAGTACAGATTTGCAGCACACTCTCCCCCTCCTACCGATGCAAACGAATTAGATGCTGTTAACACTTTCTTACAATTAGTTGTTGGTTTACCTATTGTTTGACTACTACTGCCTAAAGATGAAGCTTTTGATTTGTTCATTTTGCGTTCTTGATTTGTTAATATATCGTCCTGATCTTTAATAGTTATAATTTTCTCTAAAGAAGACATTTCTATTTGTTCATTGCTGCAATTTATTTCCGTTTTACCGTGTTCAGTTTTATTCCTCCTTTTGCGTTTAAGCGAGCTGGATCCAATTTTATGCTCAGGTGCTCCATTTGCTGATTTAGCACTTAATTCGTCATCATCATCACGATATGTGCTTACAATACAATTTTTTATTAGTGCCCATATGTGGCTAAAATCACTAGCAGATCGTGACAAATGATAACCGAGTGGTATCAGCAAAGCGCAGAATATGGAAAATAGTATATACTGAGTACCTCTGCCTTCAATAAGTGCAGCATATAGTGGACCATAAAGTATAGCAATGCCTAGTGCTGAACGCAATAAGCACAAAAATGCGCCTAAAATGGGAAAAATATGTTACAAAATTTTTCTACAACACAATTTTTCTACAACACTACTTACCAACCAAACTACCAGCTGCATTTCCACCAAAAACATGCATATCAATTTGTTCCAGAAAATACATTAGAAATGTATTTATTTGTGGAAATAAGCCAAGTGAGAATATTATAGGAAAGCAAAGCAATATCAAGTACAAAACTTCTAAAACCACACTTGTCAGTTCTTTAGGTGCATAGGTAATCCCAAAAAACTTTTGATACACCGTACTTTCCTGTTCATAACTCTCTTTAAGTTTGTGTAGCAGTAGTAAGAGTCCACTACAGCAACTGAAGTAGATGGCGCGAGAGTAAGCCACACTCTTATTAAAGCCGTGTATTGGCGAAGCTGCGTCTGGCTGTACACTCTTAACTAAGGAATACTGTGAGCCGGCAATTACCACACAAAACAGAAATGCAAAAATATCCTTGTAATATCCTAATTGCAATATTGTTGAACCCAGATACGCCACTGTTGCCGATAACACTACAGATAGTAATATATGAAACCAGTGCAGATCACGATCAAACAAGGACAAGAGCTCCAGTCTATCCATAGATATTTTAAATTCATGTTTAAACCTAAAACATTTAAAGCGGTATTTGTAAAAGCTTTTAGGCACAATAGGTTTTTCCGAGGAGAGCATACAAGCAGGACGCCAAAAATCACAGTAACTATCGATATGACTGTCCAATATGGCAGCTGCAGCAGCATTGCCAGAGTTGTGAGTACGCACTTGCGAGGAACTGCGTTCATCGTTTATGACATTAATCAGACCTTGTATTGAGAGTGTTGCAGCGTTGCTAACGCGAGAATTAAGAGAGGAAGGTGCCACAACTACACCGAGCGTTTGATGTGCATTACGATTTTGTGAATTGTTGCTGAGATTAGTGGATTGCAGTTCGTGAGTGTGAGAAACTTCACCTATTGATGAATTACCTGGCTCGGATACCTGTTTAGAGTTCCGCCTAACTTTATCGCGATAATATAAGCGTTCGGATAGTGACATCCCATCTGCTCCGATTGGCTGCATTTGGTTATTTGCCGCTTGAAATGCATTCTGATAGAAACGTATATGTTCGCTAGGTAAATTAGGAGGTACAACATTATTAGGAAATGAGCCTATTGGTCGACCATTTTCATCTAATGTGCCGCCATGCATCAACCATAGCATTTTGTGTACATCTGCAGAAAATGAATCTGCACTTATACTACGGGATGAAGGTGGAGATGAAGTGCGCGAAGCGGCTATTGTTGTAGTGGGAGCAATTGCAGTTTCACTATTGGTTTTATTATTGTTACTTGTAGAGTCAGTCACATTGCAAAGCTTATAAAGTTGCGATCTGTTAATTGGTATATTTCTTTCCAAGTCTTTCCCACTTTGTACTTCATTGATTTCTCGATATTTAACTACTTTTGGTATAGCACCAAGATTTTTGCCATTTGCAGCGTTCGAATTAGAGTCCGATAATTCACGTCGATTCAAATTTTCAACGTCATCTTCAACATTTTTTGCTGCATCTGCACATTCATCTATATCCTCATTCTCTTCACTTAATTTCGTTGCGTTAGGAATAATGGATTTGTCATTTGGTTCCATTCCAGCTAAAAGCATATCTTTAGAACTCGCACTAATTTGTTCGCAATCACTTGAAGGGCAACCAGAGTCACCTTCAGCTTTGTTATTTTGTGCCGCTACGTCTTGAAATAAATGTTGGCAAAATTTATTAGTCGGATGTTTGCATTTTTGTATGGCAGCTATTTCAATACGTAAAGAGTTGTCAGTATCCTTTGACGCACTATTCGTGTTATCCCATGTTTTACCACTAAGTAAAGGCGACCGAGAACCATTGTTATCAGTTTCAGAGTCGGTGGAATGTGAACGTTCTCTAAGAGCTTGTGAGGTAGATGGTGTATCATCCTCTGTTTGTCTACAACAATCATCAGAGTCCAATGTACCGTCTCTATTTAATTTTCGATTTTGTTCTTCATACGATGCTTTTAGATCATCCAACTGATTTTGTGTTTGCTGTAAATCACTGAGAATGTGATCGAGATTATCATCGAAATCTTTAAAATCATCATCTACAATTTCCATATCAGTATCGCTTGCATGTAGACGTTTCTGCTCTACGCCTGTATTAAAATCAAGTGACATTTTTTCATCTGCTTGTTCAACAATAGGGTATACAGATTCAATTAAACCTGTTGTGGAACCATTTGCACTGCCACTGAAATTTAAACTACTATTTCCATTGCTCTCACCAAAGCTACCACCAAATTTGGGACACAAATTGAGATGTGGATTTCTTACTAATGATTTACTTGGCGGCGGTAACAATGCAGATTGTGGATTTTTTATTTGCTGGCCATTAATTGCTTCTACACTATTTGGATGTGGACTTAAATTTGATACAGAAGGACGCGGGCAAGATATCTCTAACGCAGCGCTTTTTATACGTCTAACCGTGGGTTGTTGGTGTCCTGCAGCTAAGCCGAGATTTCCTCCCGTAGCTGTGTTGGAATTGTTAATACTTTTAAAAAGTGAAGTAGCATTTGAATGCCGCCTTCTGCTTATATTGCCACTACCGCTGGCCCCACTACTATTTTTTGAGTTAGAATCTGTTACAGTCGGCATGACAGGTAACTGTAGCGCTGACATAGTGCTGTTGGAATCTTTACGTATATTGGTGCTATGATGGTGTGCGCGGTATTGATGCTGATGTGGATAATGTGAATTTAATTGCTGTTGTTGTTGCTGTAGTAATAACACCGCTCTACCACTTGCGTTACTTGATCTTCCATCAATTTGTTCAATGCCTAAATCGGATTTTGTATAACTATCATCTTCTATGTAAACATCAGATGAAGAACCTTAAATAGCAAATATAAATACAATAATTTTACACATTATATACATTTTATATACACACGCTTGCTTACCTAATATCCATGATTTCAGCGTACGTCCACGTCCATCTACACCTTGCGCACTACCACCTAAACTTAATTCTAATTCATCTATGTCTGAAATGCCGCCGCCAATTGCAGCTGATGATACATGGTGTATGGGTAAGAATAAATTACGATTACATTTGATGCGTTCATCATGAGTTTCGGAACTGCGATGGCGATGCAAACGTGAACTTCGTGGATTAACTACAACAGCAGATGTACTCGTTGTTACTGATGGTGTAGCTATGCCGGACAAACTCGTTGTTGTAGTTGATAGTCGTTGTATGTTTGATGTAGATGTGATTGTGGAAGATGTTTTATGTAGAGCATTTGATTCAGTGGTATTTGATTTATTTCGATTCCTTACGGCTGAAGTATCATCTTGTGTATTATTTTGCGGATACAAAAATGTTGCAGTACGCATTATACTACCGGGTGCAGTAGCAATTGTGTCCGATTGATTTCGTACTAACTTTGGCACGATGGTTGAATCCGCACTTGCATCGAGACTGCTTTGCCTCTCAGGACGTCGCCTTTGTCGTCGCCTCTTATGATCTTCGGATGATTTGCGTAATAAATTTATCTGACGTAGTGTACTATTGTTTGGGAGCGCTGCGTTAGATGCAATACTGGCAGAGGCAGCCTTGCTTGTACTGGGTCGAGGTGAATTTTCGTTATCATCTTCAGGATAAACTGTTAAATATTTTGTATTTGCTTCACCGCTTATAACGCAGTTAGGTACAGCACTGGAAGAACGTATGGATTTAGTAACACTTGCAGAACCAAATATTGATTGCTGATCTTGTTGGCTATTTGATGACATCACTGATGGCGCGTAGAACATCAGTTCTATTGACTCTGAACTATTTTTGCGATGCACATCCACCTTGAGGTCTATATACAATAGCTTTTTAAGTAAATTTAATCATATCAAATAAAAACACCACAACACATACCTATTATACTGTTAACGTTTTCAATGGACATCATGCTATTTTCCTCACTGGCCTCGTTAATTGCCTGCTCCACTGAGCCATCATTTCTCATTACTTTCATTTCAATACCAGCCTCATCCTCACTTGAAATAAATAAAAACATTAACTTTATATATAGCAGTTATCGGGAACTCACCGTGGCTCAGTTTCTTTAGTAACTTTAAAAAACTGATTTTTTAAATTTGTGTCGGACATAGTCTGTGCGCGATCATATAATCGATGCAGTGCCATGTTAACTAATTTTACACCTAAAATTGTGAGACTGGTGCCAATACAGTACAAAAACCATGATATCCAAGTTCCAGGAAAATACTAATTATTTGAGAAAAGAAATACAAGAACAAAGACAGAAACAGAAACAAAAACAAATTAAAGAAGTAAAAAATAATTTATTTTTAATTGTTATGAATCAACTTTCAGTGACCCACATACCAAGTATGCAACGAATGGGGAGCAGAGTAGGAAAAGCCACAAATACAAATGCACAACGTTACAAAAGACACCTTGATGCGGATCGTAGAACCATCCACCGGTCAATGAAGCCCACACTCCTTGGCGCAGAATCTCCAAGGTCTGCGATCCCATTGCAGGCAAAAATTCATTTGGACTTTGTGCAAATGCAAGATTTGAAGGGCGTGCAGCTGCCTTGGAAAAAATCAAACGTCAATACGACGAATGAGACGACGAACGTCGATGTAAATAATTTTCCAAGCTTTGGCACTATACTATACACTATGTATTTATATATTAAAACTAAAACTCAATTCATTAACTATTATTTTCCGTATTGTTTTCAATTTCTTTTGTTTTAACTTGCGTGATTATTAATTCTTTTACAAGTGTTTTTCCATTTTGATTTATTTGCATCTTTTTATCACTCAAATCAGAATAGGGCTGCCAAGTTTTTAAGTTTACTGAAAATTGCAAATGACAAGTCAATTGATTTGACGCGTTTTTAAGAATTGCATATAAATATGTTAAAAACACTGTTTTAAATAAATAATACTCATCAAATTAATATTTGGCATAATTTAAGTTTAATTGCTAGTGTATATACATATATAAAGACAATTTTTAAGTAGCAAATTGTTTAGAGACGTAAATGTATGGTTGTCGGTAACACAGTGCTAACAAATTGTTCGTTACAAGTTGAATGTGCGTAAATATTTTAATAAAACTGTTAAATAGTTAAAAATACTTATTTTATTCTTTTACTTTAATGATTAATGTAATACTTTTATATAACTCATATATGCTTTTAAATTAAAAAAGTTTTAATTAAAGATTAAAGAAATTAATTTGTAGTAATTGGTGCTTGCTTTTAATGTTTGAAAATCATTGAGTTTATATTCTCATTTCTACCTATTTGTTTCAAGCAAATATGTAATTACATTTTTAATACTTGAGTGTTTTAGTTAATATGTGTTAGTTAATATGTGAATTAATAATTGATAAATACCCGGCCTAAGTAATAAAAACGCATTTTATTAGAAAAGTATATATTTTGCTTCAATATAGTCATTTTTAGCTCAAAACACCGAATCCAATGATCTGTCAATATTTGGATACCTTATAAATAATATGATTTATTAAGTTCTCTAAAATATACATCAGTTTCCCATTCCACTTTGTCATTTGATGCAAATCTTTTTCCCTGGAGTTATCTCTTCAAGTTTTGAAACAGGTTATAGTCACTGAGAGTCAAGTCTGGAGAATACAGTGCAGTAGTAATTTGTTTTTTATTGTTTTTAATTTTTCCAAATAATGTATGAAAATTGAATCCCAAAATAAGGAAGACAAAACTTTTTCAGCCGATTGATGAGTTCGTGGTCATTTGGGAGCACTACCCTGTGGTTCTACCCCTTCTCTGGCTTGTTGTTTTCCTTCAGGTGTAAAGTAATGGATCTAAAAACATTCAATTAAACATTCTCTAAAAAAAACATTCAATTAAAAATAAAGATATCAGTTCTAATCTGATACCTAACCTGATATCACAGTTCTAGTCTCATGTTGTATTAGTAACATCGTATTATTCTTAGAAGCATTGTGATATATATATATATATGTATAGGAACACGTAGATTGTTCGGAATTAAATTTGGAACAGGATGAACAGTAAGTATGAAAGATGTCATGAATAAAATTAAATATAGATACTCATTTACATCTCTAAATACAGAGTATCCAGTAATTTATAGTCCATTCAATCAAATATTGTAAAATTCAATAAAAACTGGCTCGTGACACTTTTCAACACAAATTACGATTAAGATATTTTAATTACTAGATTTTAAAAAAAATCTAAGGAGAAGAATATAACAGATTCAATAGATAAAATACCAAAATCTAAAATGAAAAAAAAAAACTATTTCAAGGTTAAATTAGAATAGAACAAAAAGTACATTTTTTATTTTAAGTTATGATATATTTGACTGTTCTTAGTTCTAAAAACTAAAAAAAAAATGGCATATGCCATCTTTATAGATGTTACTATAGTAATATCTCTAGAAATAGACTGTGAAGCCTTGGAAAGAATCTTTCGATTTTGAAATAAACTCTCTATGGTGGTCGAACTATCGATATTTCTTCAAACTTTGAAAGTTATCAGAGATAACACTGTCTTTTTTTTTCAAATATTCTTTGTGAACTCAACTTTTCTAGCTTAAACTTTAACAAGAAATTTTAATTTCTTCTTTGACTTTTTATAGAAGATTTGAAGTGTGTACCTTAGTCTAAATAAATACATTAAATTAAAAATCATATTAATCACGGGTTTTTAGATGGCCCTTTTTATTAAACAAGCATCTTAGTGAGATGAAATATGCACTTACAGATATTTATATACTAACAGATATTTTTCTGGACAACAGTAAAAATAATGATCTCATCTTATAATAGATCAGAAGTGAGATCGCAAACATTTCATTTCATTCACATTCTTGCATTTGTGTATTTAAAGTCGTTATTTGGAAGTGGTTTGATGTAAGTTAGCTTGATAAATGATTTTTAGCCGAGAGAAGACGCTACTGGCGCGACATTCTAGGCAACCATCAGGTTAAAGAGCTGGTTCATCCCTACAGTTATGGTAAGGTAACCTGCTTTATCATAACAGAGTTGATTGCTGGTAGGATATTTAAAGGGGCACCATTTTCTGTGTTACCACCTTAACAAAATGAGTCTGTCCAAAGAGATAAATTGTCGATTTTGCTTAGAAGCAGTCGAGACCAGCCTTGATCTGGGCCAGTAGGAGGTCACTGGATCAAGAACTACTGTCCCCTTCTGACATTAGGAGGTTCTCAACGGCTGACATTCTGGCCTTCATTCGGAAGGCAGAATATTTCTGTTCGGTTAGGTTCTGTTGCAGCACAAAATATCAACTACGCTCGTAGTGTTCCGTTCCGTTGAGAACTAGTACGCCAATTGTTCCTATAGCTATGTTAGTTTTCTAATTCAAAGAGGTAGTTTTTGTTGTATATTCTTTGAAGGGATTATAAAATTCAATTAGCTTCTGCAATGGATTTAACTTAATAGCTAAGAATCTATTGTTGCTTTAGTTATCATAAGATTTTTTTAAAACATAAAAAACCTATTAAAGCACAGTTATTTATTTAAGTGAATTTTTTCAGCTACATAGTTTATAAGATTATATATCATTTAGATGTGTTCATCTTTGATTATATGATCATAATTGTGATGATGGTGTATATGTTCCTCCTCAATTATTGGTTCTTTTTCTTCATGTAGAGGATAATGTTCATGCTCTTCCTCATGGTGATGAATATGTTCTTCATGCACGATTGGATGATGTTCTTGATGCACAACTTTTTCCTCTTTTATAACTACTGGTTTGTGGTGATGATGTATGTGCTTGTAAACTGTATGGACATGTTTCTCGATCTTTTTGTGAATTGGTACATGAATCACAATTTTTTTCTTCTTTTGATGCCCACTAGAAATAGAAAAGATTAAAGAAGAGATATGCATTCTAAATATCCTATTAAATATGTTAATTATAAACCAATTTTATAAAAATCAATATTCATATGATCAAAATACATATGATAATTATTTTACTATGCTTATAAGCAATTTCGGAAATTTTATTTAAAGGAAACAAAAAACATATATTTGAGGTAAATATTTTAATTATATTTTTACTATATTTGCACTTCCGAGTTCCGACTAATAATTAGTTGTCTACTCAACTCACCTGGCATCCGCATCGTGTGGGCAAACAAGTAAAATAACCAGTGCGGCAAAAATAAAAATGTTCCACAACTTTTTTATTTTTTTTTAATCAATGAAATCAAAAATTAATAAATTTTATATGAAAAAATTTAACAACTAACAATTTTTATTTTTCACTCACCAGCGGCCGCGTTTTCATTTTGATTTGGATTTCGAATTTAAGGAAATTATCGCACTAAAAACTTAAAAATTCACGAATCGAAAGGCAGCTTCGATTGATTGGCGAGATGTGCACTGTCTGGACTGTAATTGAGCAGTGAGCAATTTTCATAAAATTGCGAATACTTTTATAACATGAAGCACACAAAATGAACATAAAGGTAAAAAAAAAAAAATAAAGAAATAAAGTAATAGCACAAATCCAAATACACAATTAGCGAAAAATAAACAAAACAATGTGCAAAAAATACGAGTCTATCATGTCTGCAATTTGCTTCCTTGCATGCGCGCCAAGACAGTGCGAGCTGTGACTATTGCGTGTGGAGGGGCTAGGACTTACTTTGAAAACGGAAGAGAGTTTTCGAAACTCAGTCATCGGAAATACAGAAAATAAATTGTTTCACAAAAATATAATGAGAAACACTAAATTGTTGACAAATTGTAAATTGTCGTAAATAAAAGCAATAAAAAAATTTAATTATTATTATCATAATCAAATTAAATCCATTTTTATCACTGCTTAATAATTTTCTTTATAGTTACAGTCGAATCGCAATAATTTGTGTACCAATAAATCGAAAACCGCTATAATGCGTATCCAACTGTTGGTCCCTTGAAACACCTTGCCAATTCGTATGCAACTGCTGGTTTCTTGAAAAAACCTAGTCTATTTGTATTCGACTGCTGGTCCTTTGAAAAAAACCTCGTCAATTCGTAAAATTTCCATATATTTTGGTATCTTGTTAGTTCGTATTTTATTTGAAATTCAATGAACATTAAACCTCTTATAATACGTATTGCAAAACAATAAACCTCTTATAATACGTAATGCCAAACAATAAACCTGGACTTTAAGGTGTTTCAAGAGCAATCGCAAAGGTATGGATGACAATGGGTTTATTTAACCAATGGCTTTAGATACTGAATGATAGCATGAAAACTAAAAAGCGGAAAATACTGTTATTTATGGACAATTGTACGGCGCATAATAGGTCCTTTAATCTCAACTACGTAAAAATAAATTTTTTACCAATAAACACCACTTCCAAGCTGCAGCCCCTTAACGGATTTGGATTTATCACTTGAAAGCGATGAGACAAAATCGAAAATTATTATAGCATCTGAAGTACTAGTAATAATTTTTTTTGTTTTGTATTTTGATTCTTATCAGCTTACAGACCCGAACAATTAAACGCATTTATTTAAAAATGTTGGCAAATATTTCGTTCTTTATTAAGATAATTTTAGTACACTTTACTCTAATTTATTGGATAAATACAAGCTAATCAAAAATAAGAGATAAATGAAAATAAAAGTCAGCTGTTGAGTTTCTTCTTATTGAGTAATAAGAGATATAAAAAAGAGAACGTTTATTATTATCATTATTTTTGGCGGAATATTAATATTAAAAAATTTTTTAGTTTTGTTATGCTCGTTATTTATGTCCAAAAAAATTGTTTATTAATTTTTAATGTGTGAATTTTAATTGTTTTAATTTTTTATTTTTATTTGTTAATTCAATTTTAATTACTAATGACTATTGTGGAACAGAAAAATTACTGCATTTTATAAAAAATAAGGTATATATATTTTGATGTTAGTATTTTATCTTTAAATTAATGTTTGTTATTATATAGCACTGATGAAGTTCTTAAATAAAGAACGAAATATTTGCCAACATTTTTAAATAAATGCTTTTAATTGTTCGGGTCTGTAAGCTGATAAGAATCTAAATACAAACAA